AAATTTGAACTGTTTTCCACCTCAAGAATTTTTCCCAAATGCGCTCGGGTGTACGGTTTTGATGTATCCCAGCATCCAATATTATCTTGATGAACTTGTGTAAAAAACATAATTCCATTCCTTGTAACTCCCGAAGTAGATGACTGACTATTATAACCACGATCTCCAATGGATAAGAAATACTTTGCGTTTTCTTGATTATTCGTTTTCCATAGAGATTCGTTTAATAGCAGATCCATTGGAACCATAAACTCCTGGAATGATAATATTAACTTTAACTTCTAAATTTTTACTTCGTTTTATTAAGGGAGCTTGAGAATATTGTGTTAAAATTTTAGGTCTATCCGAGTAAAACTTCCGAAGTTATGCGCAGTTGAGCGCGGGAAATTATCGCATATTATTGCACAGTATTTCCTTACTAAATTCCCCAGATAACGCTGTTGGGTTTTTTTTAATTTATTATTTTTAGAGGAAAATCGGGGTTGTTGACTTTCAAGTGTCTTAAAAAATCGAAAAAAAAGAACTCGACAGCATTACCTGATAAATCTTGTCCTTTAACTAATGCGATTTGATTTTTTTATTTAAGCCCCCTTAATATTATAAATCAACTTTTGGTAATCCATATCACTATTAATTCATAAGAAACCCTATAAAAATAAATCATGCCAATGATAATTATATTATATATCTTAAGTGCGTGGTCGGAAGAAGACTCCCCTCTAGAATATGCATGTCTAATCCTAAATTTACTTATAGTTTCCTAGATCTTACCGTTTTTATACCCGTTACTCGTAGAGAAAAAGGGTATACTAGATTCGTTGAAAAGTATGTAACAAGTAGAAGGAAGCGTTTCCGCTATATTTTTGAACAGTATCAATAGCGAAGTAGATTAAGCTGTCCGTCCGTCCGACTGTGCGTATGAACGCTTAGATCGCAGATACTATAAGAGATATTTCAGCATCCTGCCACGACTACTCTAATGCCTATAAATCAGGAAAAACTAAAAGCGCTGAAATCTCAGGAACTATTAGAGCCAGAAAGTTGGGATTAAGTAAGTATAACCTTGAGATGCAAGCGCATCTTATGGTGGTACCATTATCCGGCCACACCCAGCAAACTCGAAAGACGATTTTCGCTTTTTGTAGAAAGGCTTATATCTCAGTAACTATACGTGATAAAAAGTTGGGACTAAGCATGTAGTTTCTAATGACGCCACAAATAAATAATTAGATTTTATAGCATTTTTTGAATTTTTCTTTGACTTATAGTTACCAAGATAGTGGCGTTTCCAGAAAAAGAGGAAACCGTTTTTGAGCTTGATGGGTGTAAGAGTGGTAGTGGCCGGTTAATGGTACAACTTTAACATGCGCTGGCATAAGACTATACATCCTTAATCCCAACTTTCTCTATCTAAAAATTTCTGAGATTTCGCGATTTTTTTTTTATTTTTTTTAGGGCGTTAGAGAGGGCGTGGTAGGATGTTGAAATAAGCTGCATTTAAAAAATATGCATGCTTAAACCCAACTTTGTAGGTCTTATAGTTTCTGAGATCTCAGCGTTTATATGGACACACGGACATATCCTTATCGACTTGGCTATTGATCCTAGCCAAGGATATATATACTTAATACGGACGGAAACGCTTCCTTCTACGAGTAACTGTTATACACTTTTCAAAGAATACGATGTAGCCAATTACTCTACGGGTATAAGAATTAACCGGACGATTTTTTAATTTTTAAATTATTAATTTCTGAAAGCTTTAAGAATTTTTAAAACAGTTGTGTCTGAAAGCTACAAAATTATTGTGTTATGTGGCTGAAAATTTTCTAAATCTAAGCTATATTTGGGGTATTTCTTATTTATTACAGCTTACCTTAAAACTTGCCATTGGATGAAAATAAAGAACGCGTTGCATACTTTTCTTGTTGTTAGATATACTCATACCAAAAACACCATCTAGCCATTGAAAGTTTAATCCGTACACGTTAAAGTCTGATGCAATTGGATTCGGATAAAAATTAAAATTTGTTACACGCCAGCTTTTGTTTTTTGATAGGCTATAAACAACCAAACCGAATCTCCATACATCCGATACAATTGCATGGGCATTGTAACAATCATCTCCAATATCCACAACAATATTAGATAGCAAAGACTCTTGTTTTATTAGAGAAGCTTTCAAATCGTGGTGAACAATCTCTTTGTCAGTTTTAAGGTCATATACAACAATCTTTGGTGGGCATATCTGATTTAAATTAATTGTGGCATTGACAATACCAGAATCAATTAACCAAATTCTATGGCATCTATCTACAGCTGTGCGATAAACTGACATAAGTTTTGAGCAGTCAGGATTATTTGGGTTTCCATGAGCTTTCCAGTTTGGATATGGTCGTATTGCAGGACTTAACTCACTTGAAGGAAACGGGATAGTACCTAAAGATGCAGGCACGCCACCTTTCCAACGAGGTGTTGTAATAAAAATGCGATTTTGATGGACATCAATTCCCAAGGGTAAATTATTTTTCGGAACAAAGTCTCTGTAAATACAAATTTTTCATTTAAATACGAAGAAATGCTATAGTCGAGTGACGCGACTATGAGATACCAGTTATTCTTGTAATATATTTTAAAATTAAAATATATCCAGAAGAATCTGACGATTCATGCATTTTAAATAGTGCCACATATTGCCATAACCATTTAAAACATGTATAATTTGAAAAGCGCCATCTATGTGTTAAATTATGATCAAAACGAAACTTTTAACTGACTGTGACACATTTTTCTACTTTTTACTCGCTTATCAGTAAATTTAATTAACGAGTTAACTAACAAGATCCAATTTTTAAGTATTAAGTTTATAAAAATCTTAAATAAATATAAAATTATTTTATCGTTTAATAGTTCAAATATATTTTTTAATACTAAAAACATTTTGTGTTTTAGTCACCCATTTAAAATTGCTTGTTGACGTTGCACAAAAGTCGAATACTCGAAGTCCAAGTATTTCCACTCACTAACAATCTCCAGTTTACTTTCACTCTTTAGGGTTTGAAAAGTCTTTCGTTGAGTGTATGAGTAGCCTTCAAATGTTTGAGAAACTGGTTGAATGATGGAAGTGCTATTTAAAATCTTAAATAAAGATATTATTTGGGGAATTAAATAAAATCCTGTTAAAGACCGCATCCTAACAAAATCCGAATTTTTTTAAATCGATATCCACCAGAATTTTTTTATATAACAACCGATATGAGCTACCAATTTACAATGACTGAATTGATGTATCTAGTAAGATAGTTTCGAAAAAATGTTAAGAGCTTTTTATTTTTATATGACCTGAACTGTTGCTCAAGCTTTTTACAAGAGTAAAAGCAAACTAGCTTTTGGTGATCTTAAGCTTATGATGTATAAGTTGCATTACACCCGTTACTCGTAAAGTAAAAGGGTATATTGTATTCGTTGAAAAGTATGTAACAGGTAGAAGAAAATGGTTCCGACCCTATAAGGTATATTTATTATTGACACATCGATTTTAAGATTTTAGCGAACATACATATAAAAACCAAGCGGTTTTATCGCTTGGCGGGCGTAACAGAGGGCGTGGGCGCAGAATGAATCCCCATACAATGCGTTACTATCTTAAGAATATACATATATATATATTCCTGAAATCTCCGCAATTTTAGTTTTTTCGAGTTTTATGGGCGTTAGAATGGCTAAAATAAACTGGCGCTGCCCCTTAAGAATCTGCATTATTAATCATACATACATCACATTTTAATTTCCGTTACATATTTCTCGAGATATTAATGAATAAGCTTGCAACTCATGGGTGTACGAATAATTTATGTGCTGACTTTATATCGCCTTGAGATCTCAGCGTTTATACGGACAGACAGACGAACAGACAGACGGACATGTCTAAATTTACTCCGCTATTGATCCTAGTCAAGAATATATATACTTTATATGTTCGGAAACGCTTTCTTTCACCTGTTACATACATACATTCCAACGAATATAATATACTCTTTTACTCTACGAGTAACGGGTAAAATAATTTTGGAAGAAAAATTTACTAGCACCACCTTTTATATATATCCTATGTATATGTATTTAGTTTCCTTTCTAAAAATTTGATAGGAACTATTTAAGTTATACATCTTTTATGAGTTAAAAATTTAAATGTAAATTCATGACGAAAGTAGTCAATTCAATATGTGTACGTAGGTATGTACATATGAAAATTTATAATTTATTTATTAAACCTATTATATGAGGAAAGGAAATGAAAATGGTTTTAGTGTTTGTTCAATGTATATGAAATATGTAAATATGTATGTAAGTATGTATGTACATACGTATGTACATACATATGAATGTACATACGTATGTACATACATATGAATGTACATACGTATGTACATACATATTTACATACATATGTACATAAATTGAACAATAACTAAAACCATTTTCATGTCCTTTCCTTTTATAAAAGGTTTAAAATTATTTAAACTATTAATTTTCATCTATTGAAAACGTCCGACATACCTCAGATCAGTTGACATTATGCAGATATGCTGTTGTGTTTTCGTATATAAATATACTGTGGTTGTATGTGTGCGTTTTAAATTTAAATTTTCTGAAATGTTGTATGTAAAAGAGTCAATAATATAGTAAATAGGCAAAAAGTGGACAGTGTGGAGGCTATCTTTAATGTGCACTCATATTCTCGAAACTTAGAACCGTATTCTTGTTCCTTCTTTTGGTCTATTCAGATATTAGTGTTATTCTTATCTTTAAATTATTCATTGTATTGTATGCAATAAGCATTTTTTTGTAACAGACAACAAGTGGATATAAGCACCAAAAAGTGGTAAACTGTTTATACATACATACATACATATGTAAGTAACACATCCAAAAGAGAAATATTAACTCATTTGTCGTAAACCAATTTAAATTCAAAAAATATAGATGGAAGTCGTAATAAATGTATATTACATAATAAAAGCCAACCCAAGTTTTTATTGCAGGCCCTTTTAAGTTTACATTTGTACATGTAGGCCATGTGTGTTTGTACATAATTTGCACCGGTTGCCACATTTTACTCGATGAAATTCACAAAAACAAATTATTTTAAAGTACATTTTAAAACAACGTTATTAATTTAATTTTTTTAGATTGGTAAATTTTTGCGAAATGGATTCTACCTCAAATATCGTGGTAAGTGAAACCGAACAGTTCAAAATTAGGAATACAAATTGATTAAAATTTTAGTTTATTTGAACAAGAGCTTTGTCTTAAGTTTAAATATATTTTTTATTATGGTTCTCATTAACTATAAAAATTTTAAATTTTCTCTTTATAATAATCCTTTATCTAAAACTTATATTCTTTTTGTAAATTGGAAAATATAATAATGTTTCAGGAAGTGGTAAATTTAATTCTATGTATTGTTTTATAGGAAATTACGCATTTTTAAGTTTATATTTGATTATGAATAACACTCAAAAGGTAGCTAAATTTTAAAAATGGGTTTTCTAATGTTGGTTTTTCAGAATGTAGTAAAATAATATAGCAACTTCCCCATTCAAAAAACTATTTACAAAAAAGACATGTTTCTTTTTTTAAAACACACATTTTTTAAAACACATTACATATAAAGTTTATGTAAAGACATTTTTTTTTAAATATATTTATATTTTATGTTAGTGGGGTAAATGCTCCTTTATTTTTTTTTTGTACACTGTTTAAATCAATCAGAATTATTATTTTTATAATCTTAAGGAAAAAGTAGTCGAACCAAATAATGAAACGAAAGATGTTCATGCTGATGTGGATAACGATAAATCAGCCGAAAAACTTTTGGATTCAACGATTGACACCGACCAATCTGTGATCCTAACATGTAATAAAAACGACGACGAATTAATAATTGATGAAAGTGCATCCAAAGAGTGCAAATCAGAAGAAAATATTACATCAGGTGAAGCAGTATATTCAGCCCCAAGCGCGGCAACTATAATTGATAAAGGGTTAATACCTACTGGTTCTTTTGAAGATAATACAAATGATGGAATAAATGAAAGCTCAAGCGCGGCTACTATAATTGATAAAGGGTTAATACCTACTGGTTCTTTTGAAGATAATACAAATGATGGAATAAATGGAAGCTCATATATAGAATCCGAAAACCAGACCGTAGAAGATTTGTCTATGAAACCAAGTTTATCTATTATTCAAGAAAATTCACTTGCTAATATTAAAATCAATTCGATTAACACTGATTCTGAGGCTACCCCAAAAGATAATATAATAGACGACACAAATATTGTAAGCGCATCGAATGATGAAGAAGTACCTGCCCAAGAAGATGAGGGCGAACACGTTCGAAGTATAGAGGATGGCAAATTGCACGATTGCTCAGAATCGTTAACGGAAAAAGTATTTATTTCTTTAAAAACTAACTTATTCAACGCACTTAAGCTTCGGCTGAACCACCATTTTTCATCAAAAATTAAATTTATGATCGCCGAAATCACTGATTTTTTCGTTATTTTGATTTGAAAGAAACCGTTTTTAATGTAGCTTAATAATAATAATAATAAAAATAATTATAATTAATAAAAATTTATAAATTATTTTACTACAATAGCTCTTATAAAAGCTCCTACTAACGGTTTTTGGGAAATTAACCCTTATATAGTTCCTTAATTTAATCTGCTGTTGAACTAAACTGTTAAATTACTGCTTTCTAACCGCGTGACCACCGTATCTACAATTTTTAAAAATCGTCAAACTTTAAACTTTAAACTTTTTAGCTCGAACTATATATATTTTCATATATACCATATTTAGCAAAATTTATTAAGAAATTAAAAAATAGGAAAAAAATACGTCCTACCTAATTAATAATTTCAAACGCGCTTGGCCTTCTGCTATACATTTATATTGTCTAAACTTCGATTAACAATTAAAATGATATGAATCGAATATTTTTAAATTATGGTATGAGGACGCATTTTAATTTAGATTACTTATAAATTAATTTCATATTCTTAGAATCCCAATGAACCTACAACCATTTCACCTGACCTGTTCAGCGAATGCACGAAAAGCGAAATCGTTACATCAACCAATCCTGTAAGTAATTCGATTTCATAATATTATATTATCACCTCACAGCTTAGTTTGTGTGTTACAGTGTTACAGGTGATATGTATGTACGGGACATATGTAGATTACTTAAACTGTGTAAAAAAACAAGGAGAACCGCTTTGGTACAGTGCCGCGACTATGATTTTAAAATAATAATTTTGTCAGCAGAAATTGACGCAACTCCACCTTTTGTCAGAGAACGTCACTGATTAATTGATAGATATTGACTAAAAATGTTATACAAGGTCAAACAAAAACATAAAATTTAATATTATGACCACGTCATTGATAAATTGATAGATATTGACTAAAAATGTTATACAAGATCAAACAAAAACATAAAATTTAATATTATGGACCCCACAGTTTTCCGCGGTTTGTTGACGTTAGAGTGGGGTGGCCTCGATATGAAGCATGGTCTATTTGACAGAAGGTATCTTTAGTAAAGGTTTTCACTACGCCAATTCCTGCAAGCCAAATTATTATTTAAAAATTGGATTACTAGTTACGGGTTTTTAAATTAAGCGAACACAGTTAGTTAGTTGTCAAAACACATTAGCTTGCATTTTTTGTAAGCTTACGCTGATATTCGCCTCGGCTTGCAAGCCATTAGCCTTTATTCCTTAAATTAAAATTATAATATTTAAAGTGTCTCATTTTTAATGTTATTGTTAATGTTATAGGTCAATAAATTGGAAGAGCTTAGTGAAAATGTTAAATGCAAAAATGAAGAATTATTCCACAAGGTACGGTTAAATAATATTTTAAAAATTAAAAATAATAATAGTTCCTAATGTTCATGTACTCATTATAATTGGGCAAGCTGTTGGAAGAAAGTACCAATCAATCTAACAATTTTAATTCACAAATTCGGGAAAGTGGTCGTGTGGGACTATCTGATCAGGTAAGTAATAGCGGAAAAAATTGCCTTGTTATAGGTGAAAAAATGATCATTTTTACAAAGGTGATATTAATAAAGCACATTCTTGATGTTCCTACGCAGTGCAAGTTTATTTCAGCGTCCTGTTACACCAAATCTAACGCCCATAAATCACGAAAGTATAAAATCAGCAACTATTAAGGCTAGAAAGTATGGATAAAGCAAGTATAATCTTGAATTGGCCTGACATTTTAAGGTGTGCCATTATTAAAAACTGCATGCTTAATCCCAACATTCTATCATTTATAGTTACCGAGATCTCAACGTTTATACAAAATGCGAGAACTGTCTTTCGAAATCGGTGGGCGTAAGAGTGGGCGTGGCCAGATAGCGGTACTACCTTAAGATCCGTTGGTATCTCAAGATTATATTATTTTTATATACTTAATCCCACTTTCTAGCTCTAATAGTTTCTGAGATTTCAGCGATTTTAGTTTCGTGAATTATGGGCGTTAGAGTGGGCATACTTATTATCAAATTTGTATCTCCTATGTTATAGTTCCGGCGATCTCAGGGTTCATACGAACAGACTATTGATACTGATCAAGAAAACTAATATATCCTTTTACAATCCCACAAAAAGAATGTAAAGCTTTTTTTACTTCCAAGATCTTATATACATTATTTGAGGATTCCAGATATTCTATAGTTACTGAGTATTTATTAAAATATTAATATACTTAAATTCGTTTAATTGTTATTAAACTACTCAAACGCCTACTATCAAATACCTTCAATTTTTATCCGCAACAAAATCGCATTGAAGGTAAAACAATATAATTTAATTTAATTTAAACCAACCATTACCCTTATAAAACTACTCTTGCGTAATTATTTAAAATGCATTAAACGAAAGGGGATAGATGTGTTTGTCATATATACACAAAGTCTTTCCAAACAAATCCAATCTAAGTTTTGGTTTTTATTTTTTTTACTATTTTTTACTATCTCGTCTGATCTGAACAGGAATGCAAACGCAAGGAAGACCACACAAATCTCCAGTTTGAGGTGGTTATATTGATAATGATATTTTTTTTGGTGTTGAAATTTTTGAAATTCTGAGAGATATTAATATGCCCTTGGAAAAAATTATTTTACGCGTTACTCGTTGAGTAAACGAGTATAAGGTATTAGTTAAAAAGTAAGAAACCAGTAAAAGGAATAGATTTCTACTCTATAAAGTTATATACATCATGATCAGGATAAATAGCCGTGTCGATTTATCCATGCCCCTTCGAATGTAGGTAGTATTGGTATTAATTCACACAAAACGCTCTGAGGCCTCGAAAACTATAATCAAAAAAAGATTGAATGGGGCATTCATTTTCTAAAACATGCCGCAGCTCACCAACCGGACATGCCCACTCTAAAGTCCAGAAAACTGAAGCGTTTATATCATTAAAATGTATATTTTAGTTGACCTTATTCAACGGTTTTTGTCAAAACCTATCGATTTACTAAACATTTTTAAATCGAAACTTTTTTCACACTATATTAAAAATTCAATTCGCAAGCGAGCTGCGGGTCAGACGTGTAATTACAAACGTAATTACAAACAGTAAATATTATAAAAAATACTGCCCACCTCGCTTTACAATTTATGAAGGACAATTCATGGACTTCTACAACTCGCTTGGAGATCGCTTAATAGCTGCAGGGGACTATAATGCCAAACACACGCACTGGGGATCACGCCTTGTGACTCCCAAAGGAAGGCAATTATACAATGCAATCATAAAACTGAACAACAAATTAGACTTCGTTTCCCCTGGAAGCCCCACATACTGGCCAACAGACCCCAGGAAAGTTCCAGACCTAATAGACTTTGCGGTGACAAAAACATTCCCCGCAATATAATAAGCGCCAAAGCGCTTTCGGACCTGTCGTCAGACCATTCGCCAGTGCAAATAACACTTCTTCAGAGCACAAAAACTACAGGTCACCACCACAGGCTACCGTCCCACACACACAATTTCATCCCTGCTCACCAATTTGGCTTTCGTCAAAACCATGGAACAATTAAACAAGTTAACAGAATAACATCAGAAATTCGAACAGCCTTTGAGCATCGGGAATACTGCAGCGCAATATTCCTCGATGAATGTCAATCCCTTAATCGAACACACTTGCCTGGCTAAACTCACAAACTTCTTGAGTCGTATCTATGCAACAGAACCTTCACAGTTAGGTGCAACACAACAACATCCGGCGACTACATTATCAAAGCTAGAGTCCCGAGGAAGCTACGGCCTAATCTGTTTCTCTTATACACAGCGGATATTCCTACGAACTAGCAGATACCAACATCTACGATCGTTGACGACACCACAATTTTAAGTCGCTCGGGGTGCCCTCGTAGTAGAAAGGTTGCTATCTGATTGGCGTATTAAAATAAATGAACAAATATGTAAAAGTGCAAACATGACCTCTACTATCATTGAATAATAGGCAGATTCCCCAAGTCAATGATGTAACGTATCTCGGCGTCCACCTTGAGAGACGACTAACCTGGAAAAGACACATTGAATGCATTCGCCCTCGCGTCGGGACTACAAGGTTTTCTTTACAACTGTACTCTCAAGCCAATCTGGACATTTGTCTCCGAGCTATGGGTGAACGCCAGCAAAACCAACACAGACAGCGAAAACCATCACTGGGGCACCATGGTATATTAACAACCAAAACCTCCACAGGAACCTAGGCACCCGTTAAAGATGAAATAAACAAACAAAAGCATCCTACAATGAAAAACTCTCTGTCCACCCCAATCGCCTCGCAAGAAGCTTGACTTGGGTTCCCAGCCGATCCCGTCTACAACGCAACGACCTGCCAAGCCAGCAATAAGTTTCGGGCCCGCTGTAGCACAATTTCAGTCATATTGCTGTTAGTTAGATTAATTAGTTTAAGATTTAATACACTTATTGTAGTCTCCAAAGGGAGAAGATTCAATAAATATATAGCAAAAAAAAAGTAAGGCCTCACACCGTCAGTTTTGGGAATAAATATCGCTGGCACATATGCCACAGTGGCGGCTTCGCCTATAGTTGTTCTCCCTTTTTTTATTGCATCCATAACGTTATATTTATCAAAAATTTATAATTTTTATTTTGCAGAACGAATTTAATAACCAAATTCTGGAAATAATATCGGACATAGACATAAACATTAAAGCACAAGAAAAAATAACTCAGCTTAAAGAACAGGAATTAAAACTTATTCAGAAACAAAACGATTTGGCAAATCAAATTCAACAGCAACAGATCTTAGCACAGAAGTTGAGTGCACAAAATCAACAAACTCAATATCCAAGCGGTAAGCTCGACTTACTAAGCCGACAGCAAAATGAGCGCTCTATTTCAACGTCGGGGCTGAATGAGGATGCGGCTTTAAAAGTAAGTATCAACGCCGTCATTTCCCACCTGTCTGGACAGTTTAATTAGTTTTGTATGCATTTTCCAAAGAAGATTATATTTCATTTCTACTACTATTATACTATATACTATATTCTACTATTTTCTACTTTCGTTAAAATATTTGTATGCAACTAAAAGGACTGAGAGCTCAGGAAAAATAAAGAGCTCATTTAATTACATTACCACTTAAACGCGCCATAACTTTTTATACCCGTTACTCGTAGAGTAAAAGGGTATACTAGATTCGTTGAAAAGTATGTAACAGATAGAAGGAAGCGTTTGCGACCCTATAAAGTATATATATTCTTGATCAGGATCAATAGCGAAGACGATTGAGCCATGTCCGTCTGTCCGTCCGTCCATCCGTCCGTCCGTCCGTATGAACGATGAGATCTCAGGAACTATAAGAGATACAAAGTTGAGATTAACCATGAAGATTCTTGAGGTCCCGGGACAGCGCAAGCTTATTACAGCATCCTGCCACGCCCACTCTAACGCCCACAAATCGCAAAAATCTAAAATTGCTGAAATCTCAGGAACTATTGGAGCTAGAAAGTTGAAATTCAGAACGTAGAATCTTTAGATGCCAGCGCATCTTAAAGTGGTTTTACTATCTCAAAAGACGGTTTTCGGATTTTCTAGAAAAGCTGATATCTCGGTAACTATAATTGTTAGAAAGTTCGGATTAGACATGTAGGTTTTCATGATGCTCCTAATGCGAATTGTTCCGATCAAGCCACGCCCACTCTAACGCCCACAAAACCCGAAAAACCAAAAATGCAAAAATCTCAAAAACGATAAGAGATACATATTTTTGCTTAGGAACACGTATTAAAGATGTGCCTCTGCAACTTGCGACGAGGTTGCATCCGGCAACGCCTACTCTAACGCCCACAAACCGGGGAAAACTGTGGCGTATATTATTATGAATGCCTTCGCTTGACCTTGTATAACTTATTTCTTTTAATATCTATCGATTTACCAAAGATTTTTCAAATCGGAACATTGCCGCCTTGTGAATTTCAACTAGTAAAATAATATTTAAAAATTTTGTAAAACAGTAACGGGTATCTTATAGTCGCGGCACTCGACTATAGCGTTTCCTCTTGTTAAAATTAGTAAACGGTAACGGGTACATGGCTGCTGTTGTTTTAATAAGATTTTAATATTTCCTTACAGTGCTTATCTCATAAAGAACATGTTCTTTAATTTTTCCTAGATATAGCCTCCGTCTGTAAGTCTCCGAATATGCAATGATACGGTTCTAGTGTACTTTTGGATCCAACGCTCAAGTTTAAAAACAATTTATTATTTATTGATAATAAGCCTGTGCATGTTATTTCACGTTGCTTAAAAGAGTTTGATAATCTTCACGCTACTAAGAAAAGACCTAATTTAGTTCGTTAAAAAAGTATTTTTCAGCTCTTTAAGGTTCTTTTAATATTATAATTATGTTGCTCCGTTTACCTACTTATGTAAATCGTTATAATTATGCTTAGAACTGGTTTTAAGCAAAATCTTGTCAGGACTATTAATGAACCTGTAGAATTGTTGAACAAATAAACATTTAATGGGTCCTTTAGGGCAACACGCAATATTTAACTTCTTAACTTGCCCAGATGTACAAGACATTAAGACTAAAAAGTAAAAGTAACCGTAAATATAAATTCACATTATACTTGCTTCTATAAAAATCCTCTTTCGATAATGGCATAATTTAGGGATTGGACCACTCAAATTAAATATTATAAGTTCGAAAACATGTTTACTTTATTGAATAGGAAGCAACAAATGTATCGAAGACGGTTGACTTGCGCAAAATATTTACTCCTGCGACCGACACTAACGAGATATTGCCGAAAAATCGTGAGTAATTCAAAATGAATAAGAAAAGGTGATACGTAAGAATGGTAATAATTAAAGCTTAAAGATTTAAATAATCAGGCTATCTAATAACATATCTCATATACGTTTTACATATATCTTCAATGCTTTGAAAATAATCCTACCTTGCTATAATAAAGCGAATAAGAGTCGCATATTCGTTCAATACGTATCGCCTTTTAAAAAATTGTTAGCCGAAACATTTATATGTTTATTTTAAACTTGTTTAAAATAGGGAAGCTATATGCCTCGTCTGCATTTTATTCTCCGTCACTACACCCTACTGTGGAAGACCAAGTAGAACTAGCACGAAGAATATCACATTCATTAAGTGATATAAGTAACCAAACCTCTAAGGGTCAATCAATGTATGTCAATCGAAAAAAACGCTCAGACAAGTGGGTTCATGAAGGTAGCTCTCAAGGTAATCGCGTTTTCGATTCGTTTACTTTATCTTAACGAATTTATTTTTAACGAATTCCGGATCCCTCAATTGCTTTGTTGTAATAATACTGATAAAAAAATATATCACATACAAAGGGAATGTCTCTGTTTGCTGCGGACCTTTTTTACCACGATTTAATTTAATCACCCTACCCTACCCTTTACCCTTTACTCGTAAAGTATTTACAAAGAGAATATAACTGGGAAAAGAAAGCGTTTTCGACCCTTGCAAAATAATATAGCGTGTGTAGATAGAAGTGTATAAAAGATAGAAAGTTACACTTACACTGCTCTAGAATCTGAATGCTTAACTTAACTTTCTATTACTTACCCAAAATATCCGCATTCGGAAATGTTTACTTCTACCTGTTATATATTTTTCTACGAATACATTGTACCCGTTAACTCTACGATTATTAGATATAAAGAGAAACGGTATATTTATTAGTTTTTATGTTTTTAGTATATTCATGTAGAATAATTTTTATATGTAGGCAATGAATGCTCTAATGGCGCTATGAATCAATATAAAGAGAATTCAGAAAGGAATTCCTCATTGGAAATTACAAAGTTGGAAAAAATACCGCTTAAGCTCATAATGAACCCAAACGGAAAAGTCCGTGATTATAATTCACTGAAAGAATTGATTAACGTTGAAGCTGGCCTTTTATGTCCTGACAATTGCGCTGAACTAATAACTGCACTACATCTTCATCAAGGACGAGGTAACTTGTTAAATGTAAAATACGAACTCATTATAACACACACTACATAACAATCTTTATAGGCTAGTGTCTTAGTGAAGATCAGACTTTTAAGTATTTATTATATTACAAAGTATAGTAGTAGTATTTGGTATTATTTTATTATACCCATTACTCGTAGAGTAAAAGAGTATACTGGATTCGTTGTAAAGTATGTAACAGATAAAGGGAAGCATTTCCGACCCTATAAAGTATATATATTCTTGATCAGGATCAATAGTCGAATTGAGCCATGCCCGTTTGTCCGTCCGTCCGTCACAAAACCAAAAACAAAAGATGCCACTGCAACTTCCCACGAGTTTTCATCCGGCTACGCCCACTCTTACGCCCACAAGCCGCGGAAAACTGTGGCTTTTGACCTTGTATAGCTTATTTCTGTTAATTCTCTCTGTTAATTTCTATAGACTTACCAAAGATTTTTCAAAACGGAACATTATTTTGCTACTTATGAAGAAAATTATGTTATAAGGCCTCACATGGGCAGTGACGTCACTATCAGTTACTCAACATGCTTTCTCCGACAAAAGGTGGCGCTTGGGGAATTTCCACTAGCAAAAGGAATATTTTAAAATTGTGTAAAACAGTAACGGGTAGTCGCGGCACTTGACTATAGCTTTTCCTGTTGTTAATATTCTTCTTTTATTATTCTTCAACAGAAATGTTTTGATTTGGAAAGAGTAAAGTAAATTTAGTGGAAAATCATTAAAGTTAGTTTGTCGTCCGCTTTCAACGAAGTTCACAATAGGCAGCCAATAGGTGGCGCCAATTTTTCTGTTGATAAACCAAATTCGTACATTAAACAAAATAACTCAGTCTGTCGATAGGTATTGACAAAAAATGTAATATAAGAATTCAAACTTTCTATCTCCTATGCATACCGAGATATTAACGTTTTTGCTTATTCTAACTTTTTAGCTCTTATTTTTCTGAGAGCTTCTACGGACAAGGGGGACATGCTTCAATCCACTTGACTATAGATCCTGATCTAGAAACGCTTCCTTTAACATTTTATATTCTTTTCAACGAATACATTATAAAAATAACAGGTATAACAAGTGAAACATCAGTTGAGATTAGGCACGCAGCGAAAGTCTGTTACAGCATCTACTCTAACCCTTACAAACCGCGAAAAACTATAAGTCATTGGATCTCTGAAACTTTAAGATCTAGAATATTAAGTTTTAGTTACGTACGATCTTTTCCTTTTTGTATTTTTGATCATTACCTCTCGATTTTGAAACGAAACAAATAGTTATGAAACAATCCTTACATGTGCAGTAATTCAGTTAGGATCAGTTATTATATACATTTTATGTGGTTCTGGCAATAAGTGGCAGTAGTAAATTGTACACTGCGTCAATTTTTATGATGGAAACAGGTACCTCCTATGACCGGAATTCAACTCTAGAGTTTCTTCTTGTTACATCTTGTAATTATCTTGTCTGTCATGACATTTATTTTTCTTCAAAAAACTTGTTTTGAAAACTCACATATGGGATTCTACGCAGACTATAACCAATCTTAGGTCTCCGGCGCGCGGAACGCTTACCTAGCCCTCTTGGTATTAGGCAATGTATAAATTTCTTAATAATTGCATTAATCATTTTTATTCTAATAATAATTTTTATTTTAAATCATTTTTATTTTAATTGCTTTGCTTTATTGATGCTCTTTCTGCTTCTCCTGCCGCCGCCGCCGCCGCCGCCACCACCACCAACGGCTTAAACTGGGGTACGACCTACGATAAACTACATATGTATTAATGTATGTGAAGGTGCTGAACTTTTTGCGAAGCGCCGCAGAAAGGCTGATAACTGGGTAGTTGATGAAAGCAATTTAGGAACTCAAAATCATCCATCTGGTATTCCAGATCACCAGCAACATCAACAAAGGGCGACTATATCACAAAACATTTTTCCTGCATATTCTGATGCGGGAAAACATCGCGTTCAATTAAATATTCATCAAAATCAGTTAATCGAAAAGTATTCAAGGCCAGGACTGCAAGTGGTTCAGTCGCCGTGGGAAGCAGCTTTAGAAACTGGTTCAGCAAGCTCAGCGTTTTTGGAGGAAAACAAAAGTCAATGTGCCTTACGTACTGCCATATCACCAATTCAATATTCCCAATGTGCTAGCAAGGATTTAACGGATTCTTTGGAGCCCTTTGGAGCTTCTTTGGAACCCACACACTTTAGACCCCAGAAAAATTATACAAACGTATGTTTCTTCCAAAATTTGTAGCTTAATAATAGTTTCCTTCTGCAGATCATTGCTTCCCCGCCTCAATCGTTTAATGTGCCCTCAAACCCACAAAGGGAACTTGCATATACTCCATCTGTTGCTCAAGGCTGGGGTGGTCGCACTGTGGAACTACCGAAAGGTTAGTAAAGAACTCCTACCGAAATTAATTAATCTATTATATATTATTATTATTATTAGTTTATATAGATTATAATAGAATATTTTCAGAATATGCAAAAAATTTGAAATCTAAGCATAGGAAATATCACGGCAACCAATGATCTGAGATCAGTTTATTCAACAGACAGCTTTATTTCAAAAGAGCGTACCCAATAGTGTTCTCATCCATTTTAACGTTTTTAACATTATGTTTTTATTCTAAATAACGTGGATAAAGAGTTCTGCCACAATTTTTTCCAATTTTTTAGGCTACAAGTGCAATCTTGGGTATTACTTACAATTTTACTGAATTTCCCACACATTAGAATCTATAAATGTCCGTGAATACTTGGTATTTTATGTGGGAGTCCAATACTTCAGAATATCTGCAATATATCAAATGATTTTAAAAATAAGTTTTATCTCTAATTAAACTTGGACTATCGCTGGTACGTTGGTTAAAGTTCTGATACTAACTTTTATTTTGTAGTATTTTTTGTTGTGCTATTACATACTTTTTTATTTACTAGATTTCCCGCACATGAGTATAAATGTATAAATTTTCGTTCATACGGAGTATTTCATGTAGAAGTCCAATATTTTAGAATCTTTGTAATATATCGAAACAGATTCATTTTGGCAGACTCGCCCCCAGTATGGGAACGCCGATGACAGCACTCATAATTGTAATTATTTATTTGGAGACCATTTGGCTTCTGATTTCGCTGTTAATGTGGAGAATCGATTAATTGAACTCGAAAAATTTCAAAAGTACCTAATGGAACAACCTGGTTTTAAAACAGAAATGTTAAGGAACAAAGAAAATGTTTATAAACATTCAACCAAACTAACCCTGGCGTCCCAAAGCTCAAAAGATTTAATACCAAAATCAGAAATTGACGTATTAGGACGAATTGAACAGAAAATCAAAAACGACGTAGATCAAACTGTAAATGTTCGTGATATTATACAATCTTTTGAGGTACAAAACATAACTGAATCGACAAAATGTCGAGCCATCCAAGCTACAGAACCTATGAACCATGAAGGCAAGGTTTAATGTGTACTTGTTCTGTGTATATCTACATATTTAAACACGTGCATGTTTTAAAAATATTCCAATTGCTAATAAATGTTTTTTTTAAGTTTTAAACGTTACGTATAACTGAGAAATACGTGTCGAAAAATTAAGAATAAACCTTTCACCTTTTAAATTACTTTAAATATATAAAATACGTTCATTTTAAATTAGAGAGAAGGAAAATATAGTAAAATGCTAAACTCGTATATGAATGAATACAAAAGAGAGGCTATTACACTGTACTTGTGTATATGTTTGTTTAAGTAAAGTATATTTTATATTATTTTATTAAAGACAGATCTGTTATTCATAACTTATAATGAAAACAAATATTTGTTTTTAAATTAAATATAAAAGTTTGACCTTCAACGTAAAGACTGTCCACCATTTAACAAATGGTTCTTAATCTAAAAACATTATATTAATTTAGTTTCTGTGTTTCCAATTTGTTTCTGCAGGATTATATATTCCAAAAGAAATATCTAATAGTTTGACCTTCAACGTAAAGACTGTCCACCATTTAACAAATCGTTCCTAACCTAAAAAAATTATATTAATTTAATTTCTGTGTTTCCAATTTGTTTCTGCAGGATTATATGTTCCAAAAGAAATATCTCTTTCAAGCTATGTAGCACCTCCGCAGCAGTACGGAGGGTACAACAAACATTTTGAATCACAACGCTCTTTATCGGGCTCATTACCAAAATCTACTACAAAATTGCTTGCAAACGATGACATAAAGAAAAGTTCATTGGCACCGGAATTTAAAATTAGATTTAATACGGTTCCGCCAACTGAGCAGCTTCACTCACCGTGCAGCTATAAAAAAAAACCAAACGGGGTCGAAAACTTTTCGCCTCAGGTCAATTTTAGCCCGTCACCATTGTCTTTTAATAAATTGGCTATGTATGAACAGCCTGATCAGAGAAACATGAAAATTACAAGTAATGCTTCACCAACACAATATGGAATTACATCCTTCGAACACGTGTCAGGGTCTCCAAGTTCAATAGGATCCGTTGAATCACCACGTCATATGTTGCCAACTGGATCTCTGAGATGTGGACCTCTGACAACCGGCTCAGACTCTCCGCTGTCAATTCGTGGTCAAAGCTTTAACAAATGCGCCAGAGGTTGGGGAACCACACCCGACAAACAAGAACGATACCGCTTGCCACTGGAAGGAAACTTGCCGTTCTCTGATTTCTAGCTTTTTCTCAAGGACATTAACGATTTACGAAATATTTACTAACCGTTTTAATTATAAATTGTAATTTGTTGGTTTCTATGGTTTTTTAAATAATAATGGCACTACATCGAAAATTCGACAGAATTCTTTCAGTTTATTTTTAAATGAATTATTTTTTATAACATCTTTGGGGCGCTTAAAAAATGTTATCCCTTTTAACTCTCTAGATTTAATAATAAGTGTATTTTAAAATATTTTTTTATAAGTCTTACAGATCTTAACCAATAATATTGAGTATATCAGCCAAATGAGTAGCCTACCAAAGAGCCTTCGTCGGGTCAAGGGTTTATCATCATTGATCATCTAGCTGATTGTCGTTCTGACTGTTTGACACACAAAGTAGTTAATCAACCGTTATTGTACCCGTTACTCATATGTAACAGGTAGAAGGAAACGTTTTCGACCTTATAAGGTATATATATTCTTGATCAGTATAAATAGCGAATTTGATAAAGCCATGTCTGTCCGTCCGTCTGTCCGTATGAATGCTGAGACCTCAGGAACTATAAGAGATATAGAGTTGAGACTAAGCAGGCATATTCTTGAATTCTACGCAGCGTAGGTTTAATTCAGAATCTGTGGCGTTCATAACATTATAGTGTATGTCTTCCTTTAACCTTGTATAACATATTTTTGTCAATATCTATCGATTTACCAAAGATTTGTCAAATCAAACATTATTTCGCTATTTATGAAGAATGTGACTTGATCCGTTACTCGTAGAGTAAAACAGTATATTTTATGCATGTAGAAGAAATCGTTTTCGATCCTATAAATTCATGAAATGGCAACGCATCTTAAGGTGGTACCTAAAAACGTAGCTTTCGGAAGCTATTATTAAGTATACATATTTTATATATGCCGATGAGATTTTTTATCCGCCCACGACTATCCTACCACCCACAAGGCGCGGAAAACTGCGGCTGACATAATATTAAGAGCTTTATTTTCGTTTTAGCTTGTATAACATTTTTTTAATATCTGTCGATACAGCAAATCGGAACATTATTTCCCGATTTATTAAGAAACGCATGTAATTCCTAATCAGTTATTAAATATGAGTTTTCTGACAAAAAGTATCGCTGCTTCTGCTAGAAAAATGATTATTTTATAATAAGATAAAATAGTTCAAGGCACTAGACTATAGCGTTTCTCCTTGTTATTCCCGTCACTCGTAGACTTGAAAAGTATGTAACAGGAAAAATTAAACCTTTCCCAACCGTATAAAGTATATAAAATATCTTGATCAGTATTAATTCCCGAGTCGATTAAGACACGTGCGAGTGATCCCAGTCTTAAATCCTCCCTCAGCGAGGCTTGGGCGGCTCCTGGGTGATGTGAACCCCAAAATTCGAGGTGATGTTGCTGTGGGTCAGTTGAGCGTTCCATAGTGTGATACAGTTTTCTTTTTAAAGAAAAATGATTATGTTTTAGAACATTGGTTTTACTTTAATTTTTTCGCTCGGGTTTTATCCTTGTTTTAAACTGTTTCTGTTTTCTTGTTTATAATTTATTTTTTATCGGAGAATCGACATAAGAGAAATATACCTTTTGATTCATAAAGTGATTAACCGCACTGGGCACGATTGCCGTTTTACCATTTCCAAGCAATTTTACTTTTTACATTTTCCCTCTCTTTCTCTTTTCTTGTATCTCTTTGAGAAGAAGATGGGTACGTACGTAGTTTAGAAAGAAGATAAAAAGCTAAGTCAAGGCGGAGACTATAAAAAAACAAATTTAAAAAATAATAATAATAATAACAATAAGTCTCAAAGTTTTATATGGTTTATGGGTACAAGAGTGCGCTTGGCCAGAAGGAGAAACAAAGTCGCAAGTTCTAGGAAAAAACAAATTATATTGCCCTAGTCAACGGAATGAGGCAAAAAGAGGAAAGGGACAAGGATAGAGGTGGAGAAACATCGATGCGAACATCGATGACATCGATATTTTCGAAACATCGGCAACATCGATGTTTACCGGAGCAACATCGATGTTTTGCAATTTATAAGGCACATTGGTGAATATTGACGAATTGTAAGTACATATATCACTTAATTTAATGGCGACGCTTTTAAACGTTAGCTTAATAATACTTCTGCGATCCGGCATCTTTGTGCGAATCTGAAAGTTTTTTTATTAAATGAAAAGGAAAAGAAAAATAAATTAAAGTAAAACTGTTTTTGATATTCATGTTCCACTGCTTTGGTATATTGTGCTACTCTTAGTTTGTAAATTAAAACCAAAAAAACAAATTTTATATCAATGTTTCAATACATACATACATGGTCCAAAGAAAATAATAGTTCTTTTGGATATTGTGATATCCCTACTATACTTACCATCCCTAACTCTACTATATATGTATATTTCCATATTATTTACATTTTTGTTTTTGTTTAAAAAGAGGAGCTTATCGACAATGGTCGATGATAGCCGCGAGAGACATTCACTTATAAATTGTCCAGCTTTACTGAAAACTCTTTCAGATTCGCACAAAGATGCCGGATCGCAGAAGTATTATTAAGATAACGTTTAAAAGCGTCGCCATTAAATTAAGTGATATATGTACTTACAATTCGTCAATATTCACCAATGTGCCTTATAAATGGAAAAACATCGATGTTGCTCCGGTAAACATCGTTGTTGCCGATGTTTCGAAAACATCGATGTCATCGATGTTCGCATCGATGTTTCTCGATCTTTACTATGTACCGACCATTCAGAGCACTGAGAGTATAGACGTTGAGAATCCAGTCGGAATTGTTTTATTCTACGTTTCAATCTACGAGTATAAAAATTTAATACGTATGAAGAATCGATTTCCTTTTTTATTTTAGGTAAATATTACGCTTGATTATGTATTATAGTAATTTATTTCATATGACTATAGGAATTACATTTAATTTTTGTATGTTTTATTGATTAGAGCTTTTTCAATGGGTTCTTTCAAACACGCTTTAACCTGAAAAAAAAGTATACGCATTATTATAACAATAACTTCAATTGCAGAAATGTAGAAATAAAATAATAAATAAAATAAAAAATAATAATAAAAAAGAGAAAAAATGTCATGTAGAAAGTATGGGTGTATTGGTATGCGATTTTTATAGGCCACGGCCACTCTAACGCCCACAAACCGCCGAAACTGTGGCATCTATAATATTTTTATGAATGCCTTCGTTTGACCTAACTTATTTCTGTTAATATTTATCGATTTACCAAAGATTTTTTCAAATTGGAATATTATTTCGCTATTTATGAAGAAATGTAGTCTATAAGACCTCACATGGGCAGTGAGGTCACTACCAGTTAATCGACATGATTTCTCTGACAATAGGTGGCGCCATGTGAATTTCCACTAGCAAAATGAATATTTTAATATTATGTAAAACAGTAATGAGTATCATATAGTCGCGCCACTCGGCTTTAGTGTTTCTTTTCATTATAAGGAAAACAAATATCTAGATTGCATGATGGGGTAATAACAAATCTTACATTTAGCTTAATTTATAACTAAAACAGGAAAACCAATAAAAAAAATAAAAGCTTAATAATGAGGTTTTTTAAACTTACCTTAAAGTTAATCTGGCAATATTTTTATTAGATAGTCATCTCTCTCTACGATAGAGTATATCTTTAAGACTTGGAATATAAAACAACACTTTTACTGATATGATAGTTATCATTGCAGTGTATGTCTTAACGCAAATGGCAGCACTTGTTTGCATTGCTGCAGGTTGCTCGCCTGTAAACACTTGAATTTTTATAGATATTTAAATTTAAATATTTATACATATTCTTACCAGTTAATACATGAACTCTAACAGAGGCTGGTATGGCTCCATTTGGAATGCAAGTGTAGTTTCCAGAGTCTCGCAATGACGCTCGCGTCAGCATTAATCTACTTGTGGTTCCTGTATCAGTTTTTTCTGTTTCCAAACTTATTCCCCCGCGAAGAGAATCAAAATCAACGATTGACAAGCCATGGTACCTTTTTTTTTGAAAAAATACTTTAAGAGCTTTTTGAAAAAATGTATTTCTTACCAAACTACGGATGATGCATGGATGTTCACTGAGCAAGCCAGGGCAATAGTGCTGTCACGTTTAACATGGATTTCTGTGGATCCCAGTATTTTAGCTCGAGCCGCTTGATAAAGACACTATTAATTTTTATTTGAAAATATTTTAAGAGTCTACCTTTTGAATCGTAAAGCCGGTTTTCTGTTTTTAAGTCTCGAACGTCATCAGCTGCATTAAATGTTATATAAATTAATTTTCACATACTCACTTAATATAACAAAAAGTAGGCTTGGAATAGGCTAAAATGTCCAATTATTTAAATAGACAAACAAATTCTTATTGCTCCACAAAAAGGAATATTCTAAATTCTAATATTTTTAGGATAAAAGCAATAAATTAATTTAATTATACCCGTTACTCGCAGAGTAACAACGTATATTAGATTCGCTGAAAAGTATGCAACATGAGAAGGAAGCGTTTCCGCCGATATAAAGTATATATATTCTTAATCAGTATCAATAGCGAAGTCGATTAAGCAATGTCCGCCAGTCCGCCCGTCCGCCCGTCCGTCTGTCCGCTAAAATCTCAGGAACTATAAGAGAGAGTTCACATTAAGCAGGCAGATTCTTGAGGTCCCTACGCAGCGCAAGTTTGTTACAGTATCCTGCCACGACCCCTGTAACGTCCACAAATCGTGAAAAAATCTTTAGAACCTCAAGAACTATTACAGCTAGAAAGTTAAAATTATGTATGTATTATTTTGAGATGCTAGCGCATCTTATGGTGGTACCATAATCCTACCACACCTATTGTTATGCTCACCAAGCTCAAAATTTGTAGAAAAGCCGACATCTCGGTAACTATAAGTGATAGAAAGTTCGGATTAAGCATGTAGGTTTTAATGATGCCCCTTATGCGAATTGTTTTTTCCGATAAGCCACGCCCACAAAACCCGACAAACCAAAAATGCTAAAATCTCGGAACTATAAGAGCTAGAAAGTTGTGCTTAAGAATACGTATTTAAGAGATGCCACTGTAACTTGCCCTTAGTTTTCATCCGGTCACGCCTAATCTAACGCCCACAAACCGCGGAAAACTGTGGCGTATACAATATTATAGTCTTCGTTTGACCTTTAATAACATATTTTTGTCAATATCTATCGATTTACCAAAGATATTTTAAATCGGAACATTATTTCGCTATTTATGAAGTGACGTTACTATTAGTTACTCAACATGCTTTCTCCGATAATAGGTGGCGCTTTGGGAATTTCCACTAGCAAAATGATTATTTTAAAATTGTGTTAAACAGTAACGGGTATCCTATATCGTTTGCTTTTGTTTTTATAAGAGGAAAATTATTTAATAAAACATTAAGCAACTATGTTTCCAGGGCCATCACGCATTTTGTGGTGGTAGAAACATATTATATTTCGTAAGTAAAATTTTACATTGCGTCAATTTATATAAGCAGTCATTTGAAAAGAGAGTAAGAAGAATCCCTCGGTCGACCAGTACTAGTAGTCGACTATAACGTTGATTCTTATTTTATTTGTGTAATTCTTATTCTTCTTATAATTATATATATATATATGAAAATATTTACCTTTTATTTCCAAAATAATTGCTAAATTTATTTTGGGCTCGGTATTTACTTGACACTCATAAACGCCGCTGTCACGCGGTTGAGCATAATCAATCTTTAAATTCCAATCATCACTACTAGGAGGATGTATTACAGAAAATCGTTGATCGCCACTGTACGTGTAAATGTTCGTTGTAAGAATGTGAAGATCGCGCTTTCGCATCCAGGAAACCTAAAAAATTAAAATTTATTAAATAAGAAGTTATATTAGGGTTAACTAATAAGACATTTTACAGGATAAAACAGTAAGGGGGGTTTTCATTTTTTAGCATGAGTTTTTAAAAAATATATACCACGACTATAAACGTTCAGTTAATTGTTCACTTATAACCTGATGTCTTAGGGTCATTTAGCTTGTTCTTATATAACTCGTAAAGTAAAAGTTGTATTCGTTGAAAAGTATGAAATAGGTAGAAGGAAGTGTTTCCGACACATTCAAGTAGAGATATTCTTGATCGGGATCAATAGCCGAGTCTATTTAGCCCTGTCCGTATCAACACTGAGATCTCGGATTAATCCGAGATGAAAAGTATTATGCATGGTTCTAAAAATGCCACGCAGTGCCGATCTGCGTCACGTCACGCCCACTCTAACGCCTACAAAACACGTAAAACAAAATTCGTTGAGATCTGGGATTAGGCATATATAATCTTAAGATAGCAGCGTGTCTAACGGTCAAACACAAAAAACTAATATCACTGAGATCTCAGGAACTATAGGAGCTAGAATGTTGGTATTACGCCCACCTAGATTGGCCACGCCTACTCCAACGGGCTAAAACGTGGAAAGCCATAAAAGCTAAATTCTCGAAAACTATAAAAGCTAGAAAATTAGGATTAAACATTCTTAATCTGGAGATGCCATCCGCCTTTTTCCACCCACGCCTGAACTAGCGCCCAAAAACCACGGAAAACTGTGGCGTTCGTTAAATTAAAATTTATGTTTTGATGACAAACATTTCTTCAAATCAGCATTATTTCGCGATTTATTTAGAGGTGTATGTTGTTGAGCTCTAATACGCTTAGCTGGCATCATTGGAAACTCCGTGCTTAATCCAACCTTCGCGGTAACTACCGCGATTTCAGCATTTCTACAAAAGTGCAAACTGTTTTTCGCGCTTGGTGGGTTGGCATCTCAAGAATATAGTTATTAATCCCAACTTTCTAGCTTTTATAGTTTTTGACATCTCAGCGCAACTTGGTATATCTTATAGTTCCTAAAATGTCAGAGTTCATACAGATAGGCGGAGGGACATACGTACATGTCGCTATCGACTCGGCTATTGATCATAGTCAAGTATATACTTTATATGGACGCTAATGGTTTTACATAGTTTTTTTCAAGGAATATATACTCACTTACTCTACGACTATGTATGAAATGTGTCAGATTAAAATAAGCCTTTTAGTCGAATAACATCTATATTTCGCACGAAATAGAGCTGCTAATATTTAAAATTGCTTTGAGCTAGATATAAATGAAAGGTTTGATTGATTTGAATAATATAACATGAATTTAAATAGCACCGCTTACGCAGAGAAAAATAAAAATATTGGAGAAGGGAATTATCTTGAAATACATATGTATGTATAATCAGTTCTTATCCATCTTAAACTTCATTATAAAAGTTGCAATTAATAGGAATAAAAGGGTATAAGACTTACTGTGCGATTTCCTTTGTTTTTAACGCGACACCTTAATATAGCGATTTCGTCAACAACAGCGGATACATTCCTTGGGCTTATATCATCAAAGAAAGGTCGATTAGAACTGGCTAAATCTTAAAGGATTGATCAATTAAAATAATATTATTTTTTTTAACCGATTTTGTAGTACTATTAGTCTTACCGTTCAGGTTTAAAAAAGAAGATGCGCTGACATGATGAAAGCATATGTTGACATTCAAGATCAAAATAACGAACGGTTTGATTCTAATTGGGAAATTATCCGAATATGTGGCATTATTGCCAACCGTCATATTGTATTAATTCATAGGTCTTTCACCGACATGCCTTATTTTTACAGAAAAACTTTTAAAGTCTTATAATGATATTTAAGAAAATATTAAAGTAAAAGAATTTCACATATTAGCGCCACTAAGTAAAGTAAGTGAGTAAGTAAAGTTTAACTTTCCAAATATTTCCAGCACTATACATTTAATATTATTGGATAAGAGAATGGAGCGTTTTTATTACATTTGCGGCCTATGTATTCTATAGAACATAAAAATATATTTGCTTTGTTTTTTAGAAGCTTTCAGCTCTTTCACTTATGCTTGGTATCTACAAAATTTGGTTTAGTATAAGCCTTTTCAACCCCTATTCGCGTATAAAATAGTTATTGTAAAGTGCATCCCTGAAAATGTTTGCGCATGTCTGTTTTAAATTTATGTTCACCTTGCATTTATAGTCTTAGCAAGCATTAGCGACGTTTTTCGAATATGCTAGTATGCTAGTTTACATTTTGCCAATCTACAATTTTATTAGCGCCAAACATTGCTTGAACCATATAAAGTATGTTTATTAACTGAGGGTGACGTCATGGGCCATGTGAGGCCTGGTAATCTAAATTTATAATATAATGTTCCGATTTGAATAATTTTTACAAAATCGACCAGTATTCGCCGTACAATATTATTCAATGTCCGACTCAAACACAAGCATTAATATTACGGGACAGGTTTTCGCGGATTGTAGTGTGAGCGTTAGAGTGACCGGGTCCGGTTCCTAAAATAAAATTGTCCTGCGCAGGCATCTCTAAAATTTATATGATTATTTTTCGAATTTATTTGTGTTTTAGTTTCTAATACCTCAAAGTTCATAAAGACCATAACGAGATGGCTATATAGACTTTATGATTTCACCAAGAATATAAATATATTTTTGGCTATAAATATAAATATAAATATGGTTTTATGTAAATTTTTTTTAAATTGTTTTTTTTAAACAAATTTCAAATATATGTATATTTATAGCTGTGTTATATTATTTTTCAATATATATATTATTAAATAAGAGAAATGTCTCCTTTCCAAGTTTCCAAAAAATTTGTTTGCCATATTAAAAATACAAGTTTTAAAGCTCCAGGTATATTTTTAAATAAACCAAATATTGAATATAAAGATGAAAATATATATAATATTAAAATATTAAATAAAAGCTCATAAGCGGTACATTAGGTATAAGCAAACTAATAAAAATGATAAAGTAAAACTATGCATATGCATATATAACCATGATATTTTTATAAATAAAACAAATCTTTCGTGCTTTCGAGTGTTTTTTGGAAAAGAAATACATATACATATGTTCCCAAATTTGTGGATTGTTTGTATAGCATGCATACATTCAAAAATAGCTTATCGTGAATTTCGGAATTTTTTAATGTATTTTTCCGAAAAAATGTTTTTGTCTATTAAACTGTAGAGACTTTCCCGCACGTCATTTGGTATTTATTTGCGTACTCTTATGATTATCAGACTACAAAAGTTTAATTTTAAAAAATTTAATATACACCACAAAAGGAAAAGTGTTTATTTACTTTTGGACTTCGAATATATAATATTCATATATTTGTGTATTTACTTATTTTTTATTTGAAATAAGTGCTTTACACTTTTTTAAAATATTTTTTCAAATGTACACAAATGTACGCACATAAAAATTATGCATTGTGAAAAAAATTATTGCGCTTGAAAAATAACTAATAATTTTTACTTAAAACAGCCGTCTCAACTCATGGTCATATTTGTTCTTAACATACTATAACGACTTTTATGTTGTACTATGGAATTATCAAAGAAATCAGAGGGATCAGACCCTGTTGCGGCCGTAAAAAAAAAGTCAGGACAGTTGAATAATGCGCTAGGCAAGCTGAACGTCGCTATACGTGGAGAAAAAACATTGTCATCTTCTAAGGACACACATCCTTGCCGCTTACGTTATCCGACCCATTTTGCAAATAAGCTTTTTGAGGGTGATCCTTCTGGAAATATACTAAAACGCAGTAGCACAAAAGAGAATGAAATAAAACGAGAACGCTGGCTTTTAACTCGAAAAACATGGAGATATATGACCGATGCAGGTCGCAAGATAGTTCCCGATGGATATCAGGCAGAATTGGGCAACAATGACATATTTGAAGAACAATTTCAACAAGTGTGTTTATCTGAATCTAATTTTATTTTGTGGAGCCGCAGAACCTCGTACCCAGGAGCTAACAGAAATTATAGGCGAAGATTGAAACCATTGACGAGACACTCCAGTTCCAGCCACGGAGAAAATAAAGTTGAGCCCGAAAATTGTTATTATAATGACGATCGAATAATCGAGTTATTGCAAACGTGTCTTAAGCTTCGCGATGTGTACAAAACATCAACACTACTTGGTACTAAAACGGTTCGACCTGACCAAACATCATCACCTAGTGCGCGAAGACCCAACCTGGGAATACAGAATGACAAAGATAAAATAATATCCTTCGGCACGACTCTGCAAAAAGAGCTCATATGCCGACTGAAGCTTTTGTCTAAAAGCTTTATATTTGCAAAAGAGGAAAATATATTGGATTTTGATGACGTACCCGAAACCATTCTTGAAGACAAAGTAATGTTAAAGAAAATTTACAACGCACTCAAGAAACAGCAGCTTCATCGGAACCTACATTCTAATGAACCACTTAAATATTGCGTTAAACGGTCAACTTCATTATCTAGCTTATTAAAATTTGGTTTAAATGAACGTAAAACTAGTGGTAAATCTGATATAAATAACAAAAAGCTTATACATACAAATATTAACACTCTACAACAAAGTGAAACTAGACAAATTTCACCAAGTAAGAAACATTCACTTTATTTAGATCTTAGCAAAGATTTGCAAAGCTTAGAGTTACCCAAAAAATGCACCCTGAACAAAGAAAAAATTAATGGAAACCGGAAAAGCTTTGGAACTCAAACTAGTTTTATTCAACTCAGCGAATTGAAAAAATTGGCGGAACTGTACAAGGTTCAAAATTGTAAAAATAATTTAAAACTATTAAAAGAGTTTAATAGGCAAGAAGGCTTAAACTCTCCGCGAATAGGTTGTAGAAAGGGTTCAATTGACGAAGATTTTTCACAGTCAGTAAGCGATACGATAAAACGTTATTTTAAAATGGCAAGAAGAAAAAGTGTTCATGATTCTGAATCCAATCGATTTAAATCAATTAACTATGATAAAAACTTGAGAAATATTAAGGCTGCGTCCGAAATAAATCCACCTGGACTAAATGAAGGATTAAATAAGGCAGTACAAACATTATATGCTTGGCCACTTATAGCTTTAGATTTTATTAAAGGAAACGAATCTTCTATAAATCTGGACAACGCTCACTTAGAATGGCAAAAATCTGAGGATGAGCGAACACTAAAACAATTCGTTTGGGAGAAAAATCAATTACATACACTTTGTTCTGCACCTACATCTCCCACCATTCATTCGAAATTGGACAAAGCTATTAGGGTTTCTGGTGAATTATTCTCTTCTAGTTCTCAATTTATTTCGAATATTTTACATGGGCATAGTAACTCAGGAAGTCATATAAACACATTAATAGACCAATGTCCTGATATAGGTAAGTAAGCAATACTATAAAATCTTATATAACACTTAATAACCGTGACTGTCCGTCAAACTAAAATCGCTACTCTTAGAATAAATTAAAATCAGAACTATTAGATATAGAAAGTTGGGATTAAGCATGTATAATCTTGAGATGCCAGCGCACTTTACCATTACCCGTCTTCGTTCACACTTACGCCCACCAAGCTCTTAAAATGATAGCCGCATTTTCTAAGAACGCTGATATATTGATCATAATCAAGTATATACTTTATATGGACGCTAATGGTTTTACATAGTTTTTTTCAAGGAATATATACTCACTTACTCTACGACTATGTATGAAATGTGTCAGATTAAAATAAGCCTTTTAGTCGAATAACATCTATATTTCGCACGAAATAGAGCTGCTAATATTTAAAATTGCTTTGAGCTAGATATAAATGAAAAGTTTGATTGATTTGAATAATATAACATGAATTTAAATAGCACCGCTTACGCAGAGAAAAATAAAAATATTGGCGAAGGGAATTATCTTGAAATACATATGTATGTATAATCAGTTCTTATCGTTTATATGAACAGATATAGATCCTGAACAAGAAAGAGTATTTTCGATGGTTTACGAAATTTATTAATCGTCCCTGGCATAGACCATAAACTTCACCTCTTGTTTTTCAATAAATCGATTGTGACATTCGCAGTGTATCGTTGTCCTGTTGGAACCACATATTGTCCAAGTCCAATTATTCTATTTCGTGGTAAAAATATTTGGTTATTATTTAGCTGTAGTGATTACCATTTAAACTAACGTGCCGGCCTTGATCATCGCGGAAGAAGAACTGCTCAACAATGCCGACACAGTCCGTATTTCAATACTGCCTGACCAATAACCAATAGCCATTTAGCCAGAAACGAGCCTGATCACTGAAGATGATTTTTTGACAAAAATCCAGATCATTTTCAGCATAAAATTTGATGTTGTGAGGATGTAGGCCAAGATTTGTTTCGTAAAATTCGCGACAACAATCGCTGAACTGACTAGCTAGCTGCATTACACTGTCTACTCTACGAGCACTGATAATTTAATAAATGCTTCAGAAAAATTTGATGTTTGAATGTATCACCGCATTCTTTTAACGTGCCTTTATTGATTATTATTAATTTCAGCTTGGGAAAATGCAACCGTAAATATGCAAAAGTCAAAATCATTATCAAATGTGGGTCAATTTGTGACAAAAAAAATTTGGCGAAGTGGTTCCAAAAGTCAAAATAAACGAAATTTATCTAAAGATTGTATTAATTCATCATCTATAAAATGGTATCCTTCGGTAAGAAAATTATACCCATAAATTGTAATAAAAACGACATTCTTTAACATCAATTTCAGGGAAATTGTTTGTGGATTGCAGAGTCTGGCGAAAGATTTCAAATTGTGGAAACTTCACTGATAAGGCTGACGAATACAGAATTAGCTCTATTAAAGGATTTCTCGTTAGAAAAACTTAAAGAATTGAATATTGGAAATATTGAAGGTTGGTTTGACTTTAATACTTAAAGAAAATCTTATTACAATTTCTATGAGCATTTTTATGTTATTTAAAATAAAACACAAGAAAATGCTATAGCTTGTGCTTATCGTTCGTATCTTGACATTCTTAATGCTTAAGATAAATCTCTCTATATTTATCAAACAAACTAACTCGTTTCACTCTTAAAAAAAAGGTACATAGTCTTTTATTACAAAATAATAATATAATAATATACCACATACGTCTGGGAAAGCAAATATGTACATTAAGATGAAAATTTGAAACTTTTAGTGCCGGCCACTCACTTCAGCTTAAACAATAACTCTAATTATACCCGTTACTCATTGAAGAGTAAGTAAAAGACGTTTCCGACACTATAAAGTATATATATTCTTGATCAGTATCAATAGCTAAGTTGATGAAGACATGTCAGTCTGTCCAACCGTCTGTCCGTATGAACGCTGTGATCTCAGAAACTAACAGAGATATATAGTTGAAATAAAGCATGAAGATTCTTGAGGTCCCTACGCTGCGCAAAATTATTTTAGCATTCTGCCACACCCACTCTAATGCCCACAAACCACGAAAAACTAAAACAAACGGTTTCGCCTATTTTAAAAAGGCTGAAAGTTCAGAATAAGTCTGTAGGCTTTTATGATGCCGCCAATGTGAATTGTTTGTTGTTCCCATCTAGCCACGCTACTCTAGCTACTCTAACGCCCAAAAACCGCAGAAAACTGTGACGTCTATAGTATTATTACGAATGCCTTCGTTTGACCTTATATAACTTATTTCTGTCAATCTCTATCTATTTACCAAAGAACTTTCAAATCAGAACATTATTTCGCTACTTATGAAGAAATTTAGGTTATAAGGCCTCATATGGGCAGTGACTTCACTATCAGAGACTCAGCATGCTCTGGCCGTTCTCGTCTGAAGAAACAACCTCCTTTAAAATTCGTTATGAATTAAAATTTTAGATTTGAAGAAACCCCCGCAGATTAATTGTATCCCACTTAAAAAAAAATCTGTGAGCCTTTTTGATATTGGAAGAAAAGAAGAACAAAGTAAGTTACAGTTATACACCTTAAAGTTCCATTTTTAAGTGTTTAAGATTCTCACAATTAAATCAAATTTGTATTCATATTAAGATGGTCGCATGGAATTGTTTGGAACTCCATTGGAATGTTGCTTGACAAGAGACAGAAAACAAAAAGTTAATACAGAGGACCGATCAAAATATACCCTAATGCAAGTGATTCGAGGAAATGACAGTGATCCAAGAAGTTCATTGAAGATAAATGAGAATGTAAGTGTTGCGTCTTTTAAAATTGTCCTTAATGTAAACTTTATATAGTGATTACATACAGTGATATAGTGAGACATCATAAACATTTGCAAAGCTAATGATTTAAAAAAATTATTCTAACATGTTATCAAATAAAAAAGTTATAGTAAAAAAGGGGAGTGTGGGAATTTTAATGATGAGTAAGTATTGTACGTATAAGGCCCTTAAAACAAAATACTTATGTTTGACCTGGAATCAAAACATAAAATTGGTTAATAAGTTATGAAACTTTCGCGCTCAGGAGATAATTATACCTGTTACTCGTGAAAGGTAAAAGGTAAAGAGTACAAGGGTATATTAGATTCATTAAAAAGTATTTAACAGTTAGAAACAAGAGGAAACGCTATAGTCGAGTGCCGCGACTATAAGATACCCGTTACTGTTTTACACAATTTTTAAATATTCATTGCTAGTGGAAATTCACAAGGCGCCACCTAGTGTCGGAAAAAACAAATTTAGTAACTGAAAGTGACGTCACTGCCCATGTGAGGCCTTATAACCTAAATTTCTTCATTAGTAGCGAAATAATGTACCGATTTGAAAAATCTTTGATAAATAGAAAGATATTAACAGAAATAAGTTAAACAAGATCAAACTAAGGCATTCATTATAATATTATAGACGCCACAGTTTTCCGCGGTTTGTAGTCGTTGGAGTGGGCGTGGTCGGATGAAAGCTCGTGGGAAGTTGCAGTGGCATCTGTAAATTACGTATTCCTAAGCCCAACATTCTAGCTGTTTTAGTTCCCGAGAATTTTGCATTTTTGTTTTTTCGGGGCTTGTGGGCGTTAGGGTGGGCGGGGCTTGATCGGAAAAAAATTCGCATTTGGGGCATCATAAAAACCTACATGCTCAATCCGATTTTCTATCTCTTATAGTTACCGAGATATCAAATCTATCTAACGCCCACAAAACCCGAAAAACCAAAAATGCTATAATATCGGGAACTAAAAGAGCTAGAAAGTTATGCTAAGTAATACGTATTTAAGAGATGTCACTGCAACTTGCCCCTAGTTTTCACTACGCTCACTCTAACGCCCCCAAAGCCCGAATTGCAGCGTTCATAATATTATAGTGTATGTCTTCGTTTGACTTTGTATAACATATTTTTGTCAATACCTATTGATTTTAAAATTCTGTAAAACAGTAACGGGTATCTTATAGTCGCGGCACTATAGCTTTTTCTCATGTTTTTTCTGTATTCAAGAGCGTAGTCTACAAAATGTATTGTACAAGGGTTATATATATATTATTTTTGGGTTTTTTATGACAGAATACCATATTTAAATTTTTATCGTACTATTGCATTTTTTAGATATTGTGAAAAATAAAGATTGATGTTTATAATCCTATACCAATCACTCCATATAAGAGTAAACAATTTCTCATGACCATTTCTCTTTCATTTTAAAGACCATACCTATGGCTTGAAATTCATTATTAATTGCGACATAAAATTTTTCGGTTTTATTTAATTTATTAAGGTAATTGTTTCTTAACCACTAAACGCGAACATCTAAAAACATTATGATGTCGGGAACCTTGAGTGATAGAAAGTTGGTATTAAGAATGCATATTCTACTGTTCCTATGGCCCCATTTTGTAGGTACGCTGAGAGCTTTGGAACTATATGTGATAGAAAATTGTGATTTCTAGGGATCTGGAATCTGGATCCGCTGATATCCCGGGAACTATTAAGACTAGACAGTTGGGACTAGGCAAATACGGAGATGCTACCGCAGCTCCAGGAGATTTGATCTTTGCCAAGTCCATTGCTCACTAACCGCGAAAACAGTGTCGTCCTTAATATTAAGATTTATGTATTGCAATATACAATATATTTTTGTCAATATCTATCGATTTAATTTGTAATTATAGAAGTTTAAATTTATATGGGTCTTGCATCGGGTATATAATTCGGAAGACTATAACTAATCTATGTTTTGGGGTTTCATCTTCATTTTCACCATTTTTGGGAAACAGCAAAACCGTGAATTAAAATGCTTTCACTAGGTGTTATAGTAATTTCCTTTAATTTTATAATTAACTAAATAATAAACTCAGAAAGGATAATGCATCGTTTACTATAAACTACCATGTCATTTTCGATATATATATTCTATATGGTATTAGTTATTCGTAGTTAATCTTCAATTCCTTTTGAAGAAATAATTCTTCATCTGCGTGCCTCGGATGTTTTAATTCTAATCTATTTTAACTCTCTAATCATTCGTTCGATTGAATATGTTTATTTAGGTTTAAATAATAATTAGTATTTTGTCTATAATTCCAACTTTTTCGGATTTTGATACTGAAAATATTATTTACCATGATTCCGTTCCGTTATTAGATTTCCACTAATTATTGATTGTTTAATTTAGTTTGTGATTCCACTGATAATTATTTGTTTGTTGTTATGATTAAGAGCATCTAACAGGTAGAAGGAAGCGTTTCCCTATACAGAATCCATATATTTGATCAAGATCAATAGCCCAGTCGATTAAGTGATGTCCGTCTGCCCAGTATGAACGCTAAGATCTCAGGAACTATAAGGGCTATAAAAGAGCTGCAAAATGTAGTCTGGCCAGATTGACTTAATAACATTTACAACAGTTGTATTATTAAAGCGAAAATTTATTTTAAACATATTTTATTTCTTAAAATTAACAAGGCTGCAAAAAATATACTTTTTCGGATATAGTGGCCTAATGCAATTTCGCCTAACATAGGAGCTAACATATTTTTCTTGTTGTCCTTAAATATATTCTTCACATCTTACAGTATAGTCTTCTTTAACAGTATAGTCTTCTACCACATTAAATGCCGTTACAGTTGTGTTACTATTTTTCATCTTATAAAAGTTTAAGGGAAAATTATCTGTTCAATTGAATGTGAGGTCATCTGAGGTTGTTATAAATTTAAATGATTCATTATTATACTAGTCCTGTTCATTAATCCAATAAAGTCGATGTCTTACCGGATTTTTAGCTAAACTTTTTCTCGAATTTCAATCGAACTCTCAGACCGGTAATATTTATTAATAAATGTTTCAGCTTTTTTTAGTGTTAAAAATTGAAATAAAACTTAAGGCGTTGTCTTGAATGAATATTTACCGTCTATTCATTTACTTTAAGTATATTAACATAATCTGAATTTTAGGTCAGGTCATGTGAAAGTTTACCATCCAAAACCCTGGAACACGGTTACATGGACATTTCCTTATGTCTAAGCGATACCTTCAGACTTAAATCAAAGTCTTCGAAACCTTTTACTCAGTTTAAAATCGGAAACACTGAACTTAATATTGATAGGCCCTATCAAGATCAATTACAACTCATGGTACCAATGTTTGTAAATAACTGTATCGAATTTTTAGAAGAGAATGGCTTAGAACAGGTTGGACTCTTTCGCGTGAGCCCATCTAAAAAACGAGTAAAACAAGTAAGTTGTCCAGAATAACTTCTAAATTATACTTTAATTATTTTATGCTTAAATTACTAGTTACGCGAAGAACTGGATAAGGATAATCATTTCAGGATTTCCGTTGATACATGTCCACATGATGTTGCCACCCTCCTTAAAGAATTTTTACGGGACCTTCCAGAGCCACTACTTTGTTATAGGCTATATTCAACTTTTCTAAGAACACAACGTATGTATGTATGTATAGAACATATTTATTCACAATTGGAATGACCTTTTTCAGGTATAAGAAATCGACGCTTGCAACTTGAGGCTTTATCACACATAATTAGACTACTTCCCATACCCCACAGAGACACATTATATGTTTTACTAGCATTTCTAGCAAAGGTGGCGGCACATAGCGATAATGTATGTTCAGTTGACGGAAGTTATGTAATGGGTGGAAATAAAATGGATTGCAATAATCTAGCCACCGTATTTGCTCCGAATATTTTGCGTGGGACGCTTGTGACATTATCGAGGGACAAAGAGCAAGAAAATATGAGCGACTCTATTAATGTCGTAAGGTTGGTACGAACGTTCATTAAATATAAGTGCTTATAAAACAGTGTTGGTTCCATTTTTGAGTAAGTTAGATTCACGTTATTCGTAGAGTAAATGAATGAGCGCTAAGGTCTCAGGAACTATAAGAAAAAAAATGCAGCACAAGATTGTTTTGCCATTCGGCCTGTGGGCACATTCACAAAAAGCGCTGAGATCTCGGTAATTTTAAGAGCTGGAAAGTTGAGATCTCGTGATTGCGTCTATCGCAGTACCTTAATGAAAGGATATTTTCTCCTGTAAAAAACCTTTCAACATTTATTTGTAGTTTGATATTTAATAAATATAATTTTTTAAGTCTTTTTAACTCTAAGCCTTAATAATATAGTCGTCACAGAATATTATGCTTCAGGGCCTTAGAGTAGATCTGTTGATTTTTATGGTATATACATTTACATCACAAATCTGTCAAATTCTTATATTTTTTTTACAATATTCCCTATTATTCTACGAATAAGAGATATGAATAAGTGTCAAAACAAACCGAGTAATTGTCGTATATATCCACCCAAAAAGCCTAGAAACAGTAAAAAAATTGGTTGTTCGAGTTAATATTGAAGACAGTACTATAACCCTACAAAAGTGTAACGGTATTATTATTATTTTTATATTCAAATTTTATTATTACAATTATTATGCTTATAATTCTACTTATTATGTTTCTATCAGGACCCTAATTAATCATTATGAAGAAATCTTTACGATATCAGCAGAATTGATTAATTCTATTTATACACAAATGTTGGAAGCTTGTCCTGAAAAGTTATACGAGCTGATTTCAACGAAAATAAATGGAGCCGAAAGGTAAGACTTGAATTAAAATACATTTATTTGGCTATTTGTAAAAAATTGGGTGATTTAAATTCCAACGGTAAAGATTAGATTTGAGAAAAACGAGTAGAAACCCTTCAGTCAAATGACGCGGCTCTAAGGTACCCGTTACGGTAACATCCAATTTTTAAATAATCATTAAAAAAACATGATTAATAACATAAGTGATGATAATGTCACTGCCCTTGTGAGCCTTACAAGCAACATATAATTTGTGATATAAATCAACATGGTGTAATATTATAGACTCCACAGTTTTCCGCGTTTTTTAGGCATGGCCAGATGAAAAACCACCTCCGGATTTCACAGAGGGCGAAGCAAAAATAATACGCTTTGGTGGCATCATTAAAACTACATGCTTAATTCCAACTTTCTATTACTTACAGTTCCCGAGATCTCAACATTCCAAGATTCTCAAGAATCTAAATGACTAAATAGTTTTGCATATTGATCGTCTTTGAGAATATATATACTTTATAGGCTCGGAAATGATTCCTTCTACCTCTTACATACTTTTCAATGAATATAATATAACCTTATACTATATGCATACTCTATAATAAGCATAAAGCATTTATATATATGTTTCGCCGTCAATATCAGCTAGCAAAATTATTATTTAGAAATTGGTTTACCCAGAAACGGATATCTGATAGTTGCGTTAATCTAATATACGTTTCTTGTTTTTAATAAGATTGTGACTATTTTTAATTATTATTTTTACTCCATAAACAAGGAATTTTCATCAACCAGATGAACAAGAACTAAGCAGATTATCAGATCGCGTCATTGACACTCTGCCCTATGGAAAACGGTTTGTACATTATGTTCCACTTTTATTGTACTAACGAGATACATATTAGTATTTTAGACAAGACTCCTTAAATCACCTAGATGACATTGACTTGGAACAGGGGCTTGATAAAAAAGAGATCTCAAAAATTACAACCCAATAGAATGTTAGAATAAAAGCTTAAACATTTTCACCGCTAGCTTAAAAAAATCTCTACCGGAAAATGTACATATAAACAATAAAGAGTCTTTAGAAAGCAATGATAAATATCTCTTGAAATGTTTTTAACAAACTTTTTACCTGTCTTTGTATTTTTTTAAGAAAATAAAACTCCTTACCAAAAGATTTCTGGACCCATATCACCAGAATCAGACGATGGGATCACTACATAAGGAAAATATGTTGTAGAGAATGAAAATAATAGTAGAAGTAGTTAACAATTATTTTATAAATATAGAAAATTCAAATTGGAAACGATTTGATTTGTTCAAATAACCTTTAAAAATGTAAAGTCCAATGAATTGAGTGCGCCATTGGGGCAGACTGACATGGCTAATACAGCTGGGATATTGATCCAGATTAAGAATTGGTTCTTAATAGGTTTGGTACCGCTTTATTCTACCTAAATACTTTTTAACGAATTTTATTTTACTCTACGAGTACAAATGTCAACTCCATGTCCATATTTAATTACGTTAATACGCCCAAACATAAACTGAAAAATCTTAAAATTAGGCACGGGTAAAAAAATATATACATACATATGTGAACTCTAATACATATAAGTTAACTGCATTCATCGGACATCAAGCCTAATATAAGCCAATTATTATCTAGATGTCTAGATGTTATGACTTTTTAAATGTAACTGATTTTCAACCGTGCAAGCACAGTTAAAAGTCAGATCGCTCAGAAGTCAGAAAGGTTCTTATCTTTAAATGCAAAAAAGATACAATGCAATATAAAGGCCACATGTGTGGATGGTCCTACAAAATTGAAACAGAAATCTGGAATGTTTAATAATTGAAGTGGGTAATACTCAAAGTATAGGGCAAAATATTAGGAAACCCACTCTCCTGATGGCTTCCGTCTATGCAAATATTTTTCATTTATCTTTAAAACTACTTTTGTTGACTTAAATATTGTTACATTTTCTTAACAACATGAGTCTTAGCCTTAGAACAAGGAAAAACTATTACTCCTATTTTCAACTGCAGTCATCAAGACAAGTTAAATTTTAGTTTTAATCGGTTGACAGCAGTTGACAAATCTAACTAAAAAATCTAATAATCGGCAATTCTATTAATCCATATATTGGTTGAACTTAAAACTAAGACACTTTTCATAAATACTATATGTTATATGTATTTCTTAAAAAAAAAAAAAGTTATGAAAAAGCGATTCCGAATATGTTTACATATATATCTCATATATAATTCTTAATGAGGATCATAAAATCCGCGTGGTTATCTGTCCGTATGAGCTTTAATATCATGGGAATAATACTACTTCTGCTGAAAGGTGTGATACAGATAGTACGGATGACTGCTCAGATATAATTCAAAAGTTAGCAACGACCATAAACCACACCACAATTATAATTTTAGACTTTTTTCTAACCACTCGCATCACTCGATTAAATTGTCATATTTTTATGGCCGTAAGAGTGGGCGTGGCCAGATAATGGTACTACCTTAAGATGCGCTGCCATTGGAAGTGGTCATGATAAAATTCTGAAATAAACTTGCGCTGCGTAGGCATCTCTAGAATGTGCATGCTTACCCCAACTCTTAGGTTCCTGAGATCTCAGCGTTCATACGGACAGGCGGACGGACAGGGCTAACTCGGCTCTACTATTAATCCTGGTCAAGAATGAACTTTATAGCTTTTTTTTACCTGTTACTTTTAAATTAATAAAATGTACAATAATTTACAATAAAAAACGTGTTTTGTAATTTTAAGGGCTTATTTTTATTTCTTTGATTTCATAAAACACTTTCTTAAATTATTGCCAAGTCTCCGTTTGTTTACAGTCTATTTTGGTTTTATATATATGTGTATTAATATTGCAGTCCAACAAACTATTGCTCTATAATAAGCGCTTTCATTCGGCATAAATTACAAACAGCGCTAGGGTTAGATAGTATTCACAGCCAATTTTAAATAGTAATTTAAATATTTTTGGTTTTGCACATGCCCCTAGCCATCTTCTTAAGATTATTATTGTACTAAAATTTTAAAAATATTTTATTTGTATTTCACAATTTCAAATTATACCAATATTATAATTCATAAAGCTATATATTGCGATTTCTGAACATACATGTGTTCAACATTTCTATTAACCTTTTATAGAATTAAAAAAAAACAATTAAAGTTAAACCGTAAAGATATTCTTAGTTTTGATACTTTATCCGTAAGTTCACTCAATGCGACCAAATTGTGTGAAACGCTATGTTAAAATTAGAGTTTCAAGTGTCTATATTAAACTAAAAGTGGTAATAAACTTAACATAATGAACATTAAATTTATAAATATTGTGAATTTAAGATTTACCATCTTGTTGAATGAATTTACTTTTTTAATTAATATATTTATATTATTATATTCAGAAATGCTTTAATAAGTGTTACTATTGCCTAACATTGGTTTATTAAATACCTAATTTTATTATATTACATTTACATATATCGCTCAATTAAAATTATCTGTTTCTCCTCAATTCAAAATTCGGAAGAGATCCAATTGCTTGTATCATAATTTTATAAAATATTTAAATCATATAATTCGAGTTTAGTTCTCATTTTTTATTTGGAGTTTCGTGCTTTCTAAATCTGCCCTTAGATTCTAAAAAACGGCCCCTGTTCTAAAAATATTAAACCCAGCATCTTAAAAGTTTTAAGTTTAAAATGAGTTGAAAGATAATTGCATCTTTGATTTTTTGTCTTCAACAATTGTGCTGGCATAATAATTTAATATGCAAAATACTACATCCAGACCAATATGCCAAAAATTTTAATTTTGAAATTTCCATATCTGAATTCGAAAATATACTTTCTTCAAAATGTGGTTTAGGTTTACGAAAATCTTAGGTCGCTAAAATATCCAAGCGCCTTATAAGCGAAAGAATAACAAAAAATGTTCTCTCATTCATTCCGAATTCAAAGTTTGTTAATTTTTTTTCGCTGATTGTAAATTATGAAATTACATTCCTTTTACATTTTATATTAAAAATTTAAGCTTATATCTGCAAAATTGACCTATTTATAACAATTTTAAAAAGATTGAAAAGAAAACAAAACGAGATCTTGGTCATTTTTTACCGATTACAACAACTACATCAATTTCTGTTTCTAAATCCAACATCCATATAAACTCAAAACCTAAAAGAAATCAGCCTAATTATATTCAAACAAAAGTCCTACTCTCTAATTACAACTAAATTTAATTGCATTTTGTATATATAAGCGATCCTATTTAGTTATTTATTCTCTAATTTAAAATTTGGCATGCCCAAGCCGAAAAATGTAATCACTTTAATTTCATTTAGCCTAGATCATGACACAAAGTCACGATTTGAATAATCATCCATATAACGTCCAGTCGCTGAAATGAATTCTAAATTCAATTAAAACAATAATCTCACAAAACCTAACTTAAAACTTACAATCTTCCATTAAAATAACTTGGGTATTTTCTATGTTTGTACTAGATAAAGAATGTGGAAGTACGTTATGCTGATCATCGTTCCATCTAGTCCTAGTACTTGATCGGGATACAGACATTGGAGCTGAGTACAGGCTTAAATCGGTTGGACTGTTGATAACACCAGACATCGTAGAAATGGATCCGGCATAGCCCAAAAGCTAAAAATTAGAATAATAAGCCATTAATATTAAATCAAAATAATTCTTGCACAAAATAAGCTTGTGCGTCAGAATTGCCCTATTTTATAGTTTTTGTATGAAAAATTCTTCTGTTTTTTAAATTAGTAAAAACTTTTAATTTTTAATAATATGCGCCATTCTTAACATTACTGCGTTAAAATTTTTTTGATTTCTCTGCTGGTAAGTTGCAGTATCAAATTTTAACTTTTATTTATTCTTGCACAAAGCAAGCTTGGAGCTACTGTATGTAGTTCCCGAGATCTCAGCGTTGCTACAAAAGCGGTAACCGTTTATCTTGGAACCACATTAGAATGGGGTTCCATCCCAATATTATAATACTAAGTCCCAACATTCAAAGCTCACAGTTTCTGAGAGCTCAAAGATTTTACTTTTTATTTGGGTGTGACAGGGCGATGAAATGAACTTGCGCTGCGTACGCTTCTCAAAAATGCAAGCTTAATTCCAACATTGTATCTCTTACATTTCCTGAAATCTCACCGTGCATATGGACTAGAGGTTGAGAAACATCGATGTTTTCGAAACATCGGCAACATCGATGTTTACCGGAGCACCATCGATGTTTTTCCATATCTAAGGCACATTGGTGAAGATTGACGAATTGTAAGTATATATAGCACTTAATTTAATGGCGACGCTTTTAAACGTTAGCTTAATAATACTTCTTCAATCCGGCATCTTTGTGCGAATCTGAAAGGGTTCTCAGTAAATCTGGACAATTTATAAGTGAACATCGCACATGATAGCCGTATCATCGACCATTGTCGATAAGCTCCTCTTTTTAAACAAAAACAAAAATGTAAATAATATGCAAATATACATACGAGGTGTGTTCAAAAAGTAAGGTGACTCTTCAAATTTCGCGAATTTCAAATTTTTCGATTATCGAAACCTTTTAGAAGTTATACGAGGTGTGTTCAAAAAGTAAGGTGACTTTTCAAATTTCAAATTTTTCAAATTTTTCGATTATCTTCAGTTTTGGGAACAAGAAAAAGTCACATGGGGCCAAATCCGGTGAATATGGTGGCTGAGGCATTATTGTGGTGTTGTTTTTGGCCAAAAAATCCAAATCCTTTGATCCATATTTTTCGATAGCAAAAAATCGCCGAGCTCGCAAAATAACTTGTAACTTTACGCCTCTCACAACCAAACAAAAGAGGATGTTCCATTGAAACTTGGTACAGATGTTAGGGAAGAGTGTACCAATATAACAAAACAAAAAAATCGATAATCGAAAAATTTGAAATTCGCGAAATTTGAAGAGTCACCTTACTTTTTGAACACACCTCGTATATAGTAGAGTTAGGGATAGTATATCACAATATCAAAAATAACTATTATTTTCTTTGGACCATGTATGTATATATTGAAACATTGATATAAAATTTGTTTTTTTTTGGTTTTAATTTACAAACTAAGAATAGCACAATATACCAAAGCAGTGGAACATGAAAATCAAGAACAGTTTTATTTTAATTTATTTTTCTTTTCGTTTTCATTTAATAAGTGATTAATAAATTGGATATTTTTTGTTGAAAATTTGACTTTTAATTTTTAAACATAGCAAATTAAAATACAGTTCAAATAGATTAAAATACCTTAAATTTTTTTATTTAAAATATAGATGCTTCATCGATGTTTTCGCCAAAAAATCGAAAACATGGATGTTTCTCCACCTCTATTATGGACAGACGGTCAGGGCTAAATTGATTTATAGGGTCGGAAACGCTTTTACTTTTCAACGATTACAATATACCCTTTTACTCTATAAAGGGTATAAAATTGTGTTTTAATCTTACCCAATTGTTAGTAATTATTAAAACTGTGTGCTAGTACTTACCGATGCAGGTTGCGAATGAAAATGATTAAAATAGTCTCTATTATTTGTTGATGGATACATTTGCGTTGTAATTCTGTTTTTGTTTGATCCAGCTGATAAAAGCTTACATCGTCCAGTGTCAAGAAAAGATTCGGGGGTTGCTGATGCCGTGGATTGAGATTGTGGAGGAGGAGTTGTCGTTCTAATTTCGTGTTGGGCAACAACGTCTGTGGTAACGGGGCTATTTCTGTTTTCTATGCTAGTTGCAAGTCTAATATTATCCGTTTCCAATCTGTTTTTTTCTATACAGTTGCTGTTGGTTAAGTTTGGAGATTGGTTGGAAATCGTCAAAGAAGGTGATTGGGCTAATGTAGGATCATTACTACTGCGTATTATAGCTACAGGTCGAGCCATTGGAGGCAGCATCGGCGGAAGCATTGTACTGTGATAATGGGCTGATGGCGAAGATGCCAATTTCGCAGATCGCAGTTGTTGATGGATTTGGAAATGAGACGAATGAACTTGTGAGACAGGTGACGGTTGAAGTATATGGGGATGTTGAAATGGAATATTTTCAACTGATCCCGTTATTGTCGCCGTGTGACTAGAATCTTGACAAACATATGTGACGAAATCAGAAATATCTTGAGGCTCCGTTGAATATTTATTGAAACCAGCACGGCTTTGTTCTTCAACGGAATTAGTTTGAGATGGTCTTAAGTTGTTATGTTGATGATAATATAATGAATTTATTGGACTCGAAGAACCCGTATTTAATGAAGAGCAATTATTTTGTGGTACAACTGAAATAAACTATTTTTAAAATCTAATTAGATCCACTTGAAAAAATCGACTGTACCTTGGCCAAGTGGCCTGCTGCAAAGAGATGTGTAGCGGTGCAAGGAAATTGATGAATCTGTAGTTTTTGGATCTTCGTTTGAGCTGTCTGTAGCTCTAATGATCAGGGGAAATCTGCTTGTTGCATCGTCCGATGAATTACTTGTGATTGGCGGCGAGCTGCTCTGATCAATTTTGTTGACATCATGGGCATCGCCATTTGCGCCTTCTGTACGTAGCAAGGGGCTTTGTGATAAATGTATACCTCTCTGATCTATAAAGTCAACTAAACGAAGAATTTGTGGGCATTTTAAAAATAATATAATATTTATACGTACTACTGTAACCAAGAGGAATCTGATTGGCCACAATTGAACCAGACTGAACCAGGGAAGCAGAAATTGAAGCTTCAGAGTTAATTTGATATGTATTGCACTCATAGGTAGCTCCATCATTCTCCCTTTTAATGTGGTTTGAGTTCAGGGTATTATCGTTTCCTTCATCTAAAATTAAATCTAATAGAGTTTGTTTAAAAATTGTTTTTACATTTCGTGCAAGCTACATACAATATTTAAATATGCTGGTAAAGTTAAAGTTAATATGAAAATCTTCACATTTTTGTTAACGTTAAAATTATATTATAATATATAAATAACATAAATATTTTTTAGTAAATAATACCTATATTACGACATTCTATGCAATAAACTCATGGCAATAAGACTGGAACTTATCTCAACTCTCAACTTATCTCAACCCTGATATTTTAAAGATCATTTTTCAAACTAAAAGAGGAATGTTTGAACTAATAAAATTACTTTGATCAATTTCACTAGAAACTAAACTTACTTCTAGCTAATTTGTATTGTAATTTTTCTGTGTTGCTATTTTATTCCCTTATTAGAAATCAAAATGGTGTTCGTTGAAATGTATTTAACTGGTAGAAGAAAGCATTTCCGAACCATTAATGTATATATATTCTAGACGAGTAATTAATTAGCTATATTAAATACAATAGGCAAGAACGGTATCGGCTACTTAACGAAATTGTATTAATTTATTGTATAAATGTATTACGGTAGTGTATGCCTTAAATTTATGAATATGTATATATTTAGTACAATTAAGCTCAAATTTTTGTCTAAATTAATTTTTAATTTTTTTTAACGCGTCGGTTAATGTTTAATAATCTCATCTCATCTTTCATACGGGAATGCAAATCTAAAGCAACACGATTTTAATAAATTAAATTAATTATATTAAAATATTGATAACTCAAAAATAATTTGATAAAAACATGATTTTACAAACCCATTCAAAAATAATGTTTAACATTAATGATGATAGACCCCTTATTTAAGAGTTGCACATTTATGACATTATTTTTAAGTGAGCTGTATTGAGCAATATTTTCAATAATACCTATGGGGACACCTCCATAGGTACATTAAAAACATGTTTTTTAAGCGTTAAAATATATGCATATATCTCTTTGAAACAATACGTATAATACTACTAGTACCTTTGGATAAGGTCCATAATTCTTGGGATGAAAATACTCCAGTCGCTAAAATAATATCATTACAAACTACACCATTATATGGATTTTGTCTAACACCCTCATTTTTTATGTCAGCGTTCTCATCTTTTGTGTCATTACTTCGATTGTATAAATTCAAGTGTGGCGATCTTACTCCCGGAGTAGTTGAAAAAATCGTATTGTTAACTGAATTATGAGAATTTATAAAGTTGGCCAAGTACAAGTCCAATTCTCGAACAGAAACATTTATATGGTACGGATTCACACATAATCCTGGATGTAAACATTCTGGATTTTTTTCTAACCGCTCACCATCAGTGCTCTCTAAAGGAATGGCTTTAAAAAGTATAACCATTACCAAGTCAAGCCGCCACACTTTGTCAGCCTGCCGTAAGCAGTCTATTCGTCTCATTTTTCCTTTTTGATCGGGGTTTGATAGAACACAAATTGATTTGCGTTTTCCAATAATTGATTGCACAAAATCCTCCCGACTTTCTTGGGTAATATCTTTTCTGAGTTTTCCAAGAAGACGGGATGCCCACTTCTGCTTCACCTCAGTTTTTTCATTCTATAAAAAAATTATTTGTTTTATAATTTCGAAATTGTTTAATTGATTACCTGCAGTTCATCCTTACAATGCCTTTCCTCTTCCAATGACATACGTTTTTCATGTTTCTTATAGTATTTTCGCTTGGCGGCTTGCAAATTAAACCAAGAGTAGGAAAATGATTTGACGTACGGTAATAATGCCTCAATAAAAGGGTGAAATTCATCCTATATGTATGTAAAAAAGTCATTAAATTAGTCATACATCTTATTTATTATTAATTGTAATCCTTATATTACTACAAAAAATTTGTGTTTATTTATAACTTCAGTAAATTTTTTAAAAACATATGTATTGAAAATTTTCTAGAAATTTATATTAAAAATTACTATTATGTTCTTTTCTTTTTAAATCAGTAGAAAAAGTTAATTAAGTAAAGTTTAATGTGAGTACAATGGAGCTGTGAAAACAACTTAACTCAATGAATTATTAAATATTTTATATGATTTTGAATTGAACTGAATTTTTTTTTACTTTCTTGTTTTAATACCCTAAATATATGTACATACATACAAATATGGTATTCATTCTCATTGTAATTTACGATTTATTTATAGAAGTCAATGATTCACTCATATAAGTTATGTAAATGTATGTAATGTAATTTAATGTAAAATAATTACACACATTAACCAGTTTATGACATATAGTGGTGAAACAAATGGTTGAATTCGTTCGTTTAAATAGCATAAAATTTACAATTTTAAATCTTTAATGAAAAAACATATAAATTTTACTTGTCATGATCAAACAAACCTTTTACTTAATTTACTTAATAGTAATTGTTATCTATTCTAGCAAACTAACTATTGATTCTAACTAAAAATGAACAGACACATTAACTCTAACATTTAAAAAGGGTACGACGCTTTACCTGTCCCGATGACGAAGTTTGCAAATAAGAAGAAACGTCCGTCTCAATCATACAGCCTCTTAAAGTGTCTGGTATAAACATACCTTGGGTATTATTTTGATCATTGAATTTATTATTTTGTTGGCTCCATCAAAAAAATCTAAAATATAATACAAATACGATTATTAAATAATTTTTATCTTTCCATTCTGCAGTTCTCCCAAACGCAGTGAATAATTTTAATAGCGTCACCTTATGCCAAAAAAAAGATGGTTTAGTAACTGACTTACTTTATTGCCCTTGTGGGGCCTTATAACCTACATTTGAATAAATTGTGAAATAATGTTCCGTTGAAAATTTTTTTAATATATCAAGGTCAATCGAAGACATACATTTTAATATTGTGTACGCCACAGTTTTTAGCTATCATAAAATGGTTAACCGGAGAGAAGAAGAATGAGTGGAAGGACTTGACTCCACTAGTTACCATATTACCTTTTTTATACTTTTATATACAATTAGTAACAAATCAAGGATAAGCGAAGTAACTACTGAAGTAAAATATACGCTCACAATTTAAAATTTCGCTCTATCTTTATATTTATATTAAGACCTGTAATAATAGGCAACTTATATTTGCACCCCTTGTATAGATTATTAACTTCTGATAAAATTGGTCAACAATTAAAAATTTAATTATATAAATATATTCTTTAACATTAATAATGTTAGTTCACAGGCGTTATATTAGCGTTCGGCGCTCTTACGGCAATTCATACATATATACATTATAAACTCTTTCTATTGCCAATCACAGATTTTACAATATTGTTTAATTTACGATAAAGAATTATTTTCAATTTTAGAAATGCGGTGCATGTATCGATGTCAGTTAAGTCCTTAATCTTTCAGCTATTTAATCACAAATATGTATATTTTTACAAATACACTTCTCTTTGTCAAAGGTAGAAAGATTCAATATAATTGAATTACTTATCGTTGCCTTTTTTTTTACAAAAATACCATTACACAATACCATCTTAGATTTAGACTATTAATTATATTATATTTCATTTCAAGAAACGTTTTTAAATGTTATATTCATAATTGTTTTCTATTTTTGTTAAACACGTACACTTATATTAATAAATCACGGAGCTGACTAAACTATGACACAATAGATGCGCTTTTAAAAACGAATACCTAAAGACTAAATTTGAAATTGGCAATCACAAATAACTGCATGTATTTATGTTCTCATAAACTTTATGTCTCTTAGGCATGTTTATGAATCCGAATTAATTAAAAAATACATAATCAACCTAAAGGGTCTGAACGAAATTCAGTTCTAAAAATGGATATTCTCGCACTGAGCAAACGGAAACTAAATGAGAGAGCTCATTCAAATTCATAATACGCATGTGCTAAGCAACTACAGTATAAATTCAATAGGCCAGAATAATCTACCAAGCTCTATCAATAATTGATAATTATTGAAATAAATGTTTCGAGCCGGACCATTTTTTTACTATATATTACAAAATGTAGGTTACAAGCCTCATATGTGCAGTGACATCACTGTCAGTTAATAAATAAGTGGTTCTAGCATAAGTGGCGTAAGTAAAAAGTACACGGCTTAAATGCAAGCAAAATAAGCTGTTTATACCTGTTACTCGTGGAGTAAAAGGGTATATTAGATTCGTTGAAAAGTATGTAACAGGTAGAAGGAAGCGTTTCCGACCCTATAAAGTATATATATTCTTGATCAGGATCAATATTTAAGTTTGAGCCATGCCCTTCTGTCCGTCCGTCTGTCCGTGTGATCGCTGAGATCTTAGGAACTATAAGAGATACAAAGTGAGATTAGGCATGAAAATTCTTGAGGTCCCTACGCAGGGCACTAAAGCATCCTGCCACGCTCACTTTAACGCCCACAAATCGCGAAAGACTAAAATCGCTGAAATCTCAGGAACTATTAAAGGTAGAAAGTTCAAATTCAGTATGTATAATCTTTAGATGCCAGCGCATCTTATAGTGATTTTCGCATTTTCTAGAAAAGCTGATATTTCGGTAATTATAAGTGATACAAAGTTAGGATTAAGCATGTAAGTTTTTATGATGCCCCAAATGCAAATTGTTTATCCCATCTAGCCACGGCCACCCTAGCGCACACAAAACACGGAAAACAAAAATGCATCTCGGGTCCTATAAGAGTTAGAAAGTTAGGCTTAAGAACATGTATTTTAGAGAAGCCACAACGAGTTTTCATCCGGCCACGCCCAGTCTAAAGCCCACAAACCGCGGAAAACTGTGGGGTGTATATTATTATTATAAATGCCTTCGTTTGACCTTGTATAACTTATTTCTGATAATATCTATCGATTTACCAATGACTAAAGGAATTTAGGTTATAAGGCCTCACAAGGTAAAAACATGGTGTAAAACAGTAACGGGTATCTTATAGTCGCGGCACTCGCTATAGTGTTTTCTCTTGTTTTATTTTGTTGATCATACAAACAAGATGACCAGAAAAGTACATAATTTAAATTAATATATTTGTAATATTTGACGACTTCGCGGCTTTCTGAAGAGTGAAGCGCGTCCGCAACTCTTCCTCTTCTTAAGTTCTAACAGCGCGTAAGAGCTGCCGGATCGCTAAAGTTCCTATTAACAGCAGTGACCTCTTTACATATACATACATATTCTTGATCTGTCGATTAAGCCATGTCCGTCCGACCGTACGTCTGTCCGTACGCATGTTTAATCCAAACTTTCGAGCTCTCATAGTTTTCGAGATTTTAGCGTTTTTGCTTTTCCGAGTTCGTTAGGAGTTGGCTCGGCTATTGGTCCTGATTAATAATATATATATTTTTAGGGTCGGAAGCGCTTCCTTCTACCTGTTACATACCTTTCAACGAATACAATTATACACTTTTACTTTATAATCACAGTATAAATAGGGTTGAAGACTAACAGGTAGAAGTTATTAAGCCTAACATAAAATGTGAAACATCATATGAGATCATTAAATCTCCAGTGATTCAAGGGAACGGCAGAAATAGCTATGGCAAAGGCAACAGAAACAAAATAAAAGGAATCGCAAAAGATTCTTTAACCCATCACGGAAAAGTTTCAAATCTCGATACCACGATGGCAAAACGTAGACCTCATTTACAGCGATAAACAACCTTCATAAATACTGTTCATAATGGACGATCAAGGAGCAAGGATGCCAAGACTATAAGATACCCTTTACTGTTTTTCGAAATTTTAAAATATTAATTTTCATATTCATTCATTGTCAGAGAAAGCATGTTGAGTATCTGATAGTGACGTCACTGCCCATGTGAGGCCTTATAACCTCCATTTCTATGTGGTTCTATATGGTTCCGATTTGAAAAATTTTTGGTATTGGTATTATACAAAATCAAACAAAAACATCCACTATAATATTATGGACGCCACAGTGTTCCTTTGTGGGATGATGCTGAAATAAACTTGCGCTGCATAGGGACCTCAAGGATCTTCATGCTTAATCTCAACTTTGTATCGCTTATAGTTCCTGAGATCTCTGCGTTCATACGGACAGATGAACGGCGGACATGGCTTAATCTACTTCGCTATCGATCCTGACCCTTTTACTCTACGAGTAACTGGTATAAATATATGGTTAATCTATGTTTTAATCAGCCCAATAACAACAGACAGAACTTTAATCAACTAGGTTTAACAATACCAAAAAATCAAAATTGTTTTTATTGTATAAGATTTTACCGGGTATCTTATAAAGGTGTAAGCAAATCTATTTTAAAAACCATTTAATCAATATTTTGGATAAGCGAAAAAAATCGATTATTTTTTTAGGGGATCGATGCATTGACAAGTTTGGTCACCTTACAAAAATTTCAGGTGAATGTAAGTAAGCAAAAAGATTATTTTAAAGTAATATAACTCAAATAAATTAATAAATATTAATCACTTCCGAAATTAGTGTATGTTGGTGTTGAGGAGAAAAAACGGGATGGATAAGTTTTTTGTTTTTCAGGAAAATAAAATTATTTTGTTTGTTTTGATTGTTGTCCATCAAAAGCGAAAAACATGTATTAATTAACAAGTAATAACCAATGGATTTTAAATGAATAGAAAAAATATTGATCTCAAACAAATTTACTATTGAATTTTGCATTTCTTTGCAAATGTAAATTTTGTATTTTCCTTCCTACGTTTTTGGCCTTTTTCATTTTGTTTTGAAATTTGAAAAAAATTGATTCTCAAAAAGTAGAATTGGTTATCTAATTCATCTAGCCCTGCTCCTTGCGCAATAAGTTCATTTATAAAATCATCAATGAAAATCCCAATTTACGAGCGTTATAGGCCGGATGATGAGACCGTTGATCAAAAGCTAAGCTTTAATTTAATTAGCAATATGTACTCAATAATATAATGGATCATTCTCTTTCCTTTATTTTTTACTTGAGATGCTGAACGAAAAAAAAGGAAAATCTAAGAAAAACAACTATAAGTCGGATGAATGTAATTAAACTGAAAAAAACGGCGACTCTTGTGGATTTTTGCCGCTAATTTCTTTTCGCCTATGCTTCTGCCTTTTAGAGCGACTTCTAATTTTTCCAAGAGCAGAACGTCAAAGAACCAACATGTAAAATGAGTTCGACTTCTGCTTATATGACGGTAGCTTTAAACCAATGAGTAAAAATATAAATATTTACTTTAATAAAATATTTTCCAAAAATAAAAAAAAACGGATTTCTTTTTAAGGTAAGATGACAATTGTTACAAAATTGCTGAAATTTAAAACGACATAGGATCAGCAATAGCAGAGAATTACTTTCAACTAGCATTCACAAAAATCATTTGAAAAAGCATTTTTGTTTTTGCGAAGCAGAAGTAAAAATAAAATTTAAAAGTAAGCTGAAGGCTTCTCTATCTTTAATAATAATAATAATAATAAAATTTAAAAGTTAAAAAAAAAGTTAAAAAGTTAAAACTCGCATGCGGCTTGGACGACTAAATAAAAATCGGAATATGAAGCCAGAAAGTTAGATATAGATATAGTCTAGTTAGATATAGATATAGTCTATATCTAACTTTCTGGCTTCATATTCCGATTCCCGACAAACATTAAATATATTAAAAAAATGTTATATTAACTTCAATTATCCACCCAAAATTAAAAATCAGTATTATTGACTCTTATTGAATGCTTTATTTGCTAATATGAATAAATTATTTTAATAATATTTTAACAGGTATATAACAAATATGTAGTTTCAAGGTGGGTTGTATTTTCGATTTTTCGTTTTTCAAACTCAGTTTCAATTATCAATTATAAATATATTTGCTTTAATTCTTTCTTCTCTCTCTTTATTATTACTGTCATTTATATTATTTTCTCGCAGTTGACGCTTATTCCGGCAATGGTTGGCTAATTTAATTATATTTACTTTTAAAAATGATTTACGTTCTGGTTTATTGTGCTAATGCAATTTTTCTATTTAAATAACCTAAATTTCTATTATACAACGCTTTTGTATCATTACAATTCATTTAAAGAATATTTAAGAGTAATATAACTTTTTATCCGTTAATGTAATTTAAAACCATGTAACAATGTATGTTCCCTATTATATTATATATTATAATTCAACAATTCAATAGTGTGGTTTTCTTTTATAGACTTATAAGTCTAGATCAAAAATACATATCGTAGAATTTTTAAATATTCTTATTGAATAAAAACGAACAACTCAGACATTTGGATTACTTTATTAAAATATATTAATACAAATTTATTTTCATTTATTATCTTATACAGAACAATGTTTATGTTTTGCGATATCGCCATAGTCGATTGTCACGACTATTGGATACCTGTTACTCTGTTAAGCAATTTCAAAATAATTATGCTTGGAAACATTTACGGCATGTAAAATTGTACTAGTGTCAGCTTTTTGCATTTTAAACTGATAGTAATGATAGTAATTTATTAAAAAAATAATATTTAAGGTCAAAAATATCTAAAGCCTTAATTTTATTAATCTTACATTTTTTGGTGCTTGTAGATGCTAGATTCTGCATACTTATAGCTCTTATAATTCCTGAGATCTCAGCATTTTAGTTTTCGCAGATTTTCCGCTTTAGAGTGGTTGTGGCCGAGCTATGCAACAAACTTGCGCTGCTTACGCATTTACAGAACCTATTTGCTAAAACCGAACATTATATTCCTTTACTTTCCAAGATGTCAGCTTTCAAACAGACAGATGAACATATGGACAGACAAACGGAATCCTGATTAATAATATATGTATATGTTTTTTATCCTTTACTGTTCAACAAATACATTTTGCCATTTTACTCTTCGAGTAACGAGTATAATAATTGTTTATCCTTCTTATATTTAAAACGAAAGCAAATAACAACAAAATGAATTCAACGAGCGGTATTTACTTACACTGCATTTATGTATAAATCTTCTTCACAAAAAATCCACAGTTTTTTATAAATATTGTGTGCTGAATCCGAATCAAAAGATCCATCGCCCCATTTCCTTAACAAATGTTGGCTAAAATAAATTATATGGGATATGTCGTTTGAGCATACTTTTGCTCTTGTCTTCGGTGAAAAATATTTAAGTTGTTTTAAAATTTAAATGCATATATTATTAAGTAGCGACGTTTTTAAATAACTGTAATGACAATAATCTGTTTGCCTTTATTGGAGTCGATAAAGCCATTTTCAAGGCTGAATGCGTCTTTCAGAAATCATTATTGTAATCATATTTATAAGTTTGTAGCACATCACATATTATTATAAATAAAAAATGTTACATTTAAAAATAATTCATAAATGAATATTACAATACATAATTTTTTTCAATAATCCCACGAAATGACCCTACGAACAGTTCTCTACATATAAGCACGTATAAAACTCCGGCTCTGTTCAGAACAATTACTGTATGTAAATTTAAGGCTATTTTTGTATTTTTCAAACAATAGAACATTTGTGCAGATTTTTAATTTTTGTTTTAACTCTAATTGGTATCGCTATGGATTCAAGTATAAATCAATTTATATACATCCATATACGGGTTTCTCCGATATACTTACTGGAGTACATTTTATGTTATAATTGGAAAGATTTAAAGTTATTCAGGCTTAAGACGATGCCATTGAACAACAGTTTGCCTGGGCTTTGATATCATGTCTTGCCAATGTTTTGTCTCTGATGCTCCAGAACCGTTTTTACCTATTTTTAATTGCATTTGGAAACAAATTAATCTTAGTAAATTATGATACAACTTTGAGATATAATGTTTTTTTATTATTCTTACCAGCTAATAAAATTCGCCCTATTAACTCGTTCCTTCCAATATTATCAAAATCCATTACCATAACATCCAAAGAACATTCTCTTATTTTTTCCCATGGAACGTTAAAACTAAACGATTCATTAAATACAGGATTTAATGTGCAGGTAAATATAGGTGTTTTTCTTTTTTCTACCCTTTTATCTCCAAACTGAAGCCAAACCTTTACATAAGGATCTAAAAATTGTATAAAAAAAAGTAAACCAAATTTTTATTCTTTGTATTCAACAAATATAAAATTATTTATAGGCTTTAGTTTTAATTTCAATTAATATTGATAGAAATTGTTGCTTTTAATAATTAAAAAAAAGTGTATGAAACATAAACAAAAATAAAAAAAATATATTTTTGTTTATCTCTGCTACAGCTTATCTTAGTCAATCACGACTGCATAAACACATCACTTTTAATCAATCCCTTCAATACCATCACCAACACTACCACGACAAACTAGAAAAGATGAAACTGCTTATTTGATAAAATTTAAATTGTTTTAAATTAAAGTGTTTTTAATATTTTAATTTTAGTTTGCCCTGCGCAGCCATCATTAGAATCTGCATGCTTAATGGTTTGAAAAGATGTTCGCACACAAAAGAATGAGGGCAAGTGTGGACCATGCCTGTCCGTCAGCAAGCCAGCTTCAATACGATTGAACTCAATGTATATTCAGCAAAGGGTCAAGTAGAACGCATGCACAAAGTAGTTTTTTGGATGACCTCAAAGTTTAATAATAAAAAACCTATCCCAAAAAGAAAGCAGTTCTCTAAATCTCAGCGTCCACACGTACATACGGATATAAAAATTTTGTTATTTAAAATATTTGTCCATATCAATAAATAATTTATTTATTAATTGCATAACATATTTTGATTAATAGTTGAGTTCGGCAACCACTGCCTATATATATATATATATATACGTATGCTGCGAATTATACCCTTTTTTTTGTTAATACTCTACAATAACAATAACAATAATTGTTCTCCGCAAATATCCCTTGTTCTCTTTCAATAAGTAAATAGTACAAAAATATACAAGGCGCATATTAAAAATATTACACACACTATAAAAAGACTAACATTTTTAATAACTACATACCAGATTTTCCGTTGATATCCTTAGCTTTTAAATTTCTCGCTTTAATCAATGTTAAAGTTAATATTGAGTTCGACGGGTGATAGCAAAGGGATGATAGAAGTTCTCCACATTTATCCTTAGCGGGGGGTTTTAAGGCTTTCCAAAATGACTGTTTTCCAGCAAAGTCAACCTTATTAGAAAAAATCAATATTTTATAATAACTATAAGAAAATATTTTTGAATTGATTATTTACTTGGCATAAAGGAAGGAATACCTCTCCTATGGAGTCATCTCTTGAGAACCGATCGTAATCAAATACATGTAAGTGTAAAACCTAAACCAATATTAAAAAAATAAGTGATATATAATTTTAATTTATAATTGCGAATATTTAACATAGTAATTCAATTTAAAATAAAAGCCTTGTTATTAATCATTATACATACATATACATATCTACTCCTTAACTTAATTTATTCCAAAGTTTTTCATACACTAGTTTTTTTTTAATAAAATAGCGAAGTTCTGCTGTTTAATTTTTATATCTTTGTAGCAGAGAACGGCGAGGGTACACCCAAATAATAAGTGTACCCGAATCATTTGTGCGTTTTCAGCACTTAGAGTGTGATCGGACCCTAAAATAAGAGTGGTTGCGTTGTACTGATCATTTCAAATGTGCTCATACGCACAAACTACTGTTGCAGAGACACCCAAAACACTCACATGAAAAGAAGGGAGTGTTCGAAACACGCATGTTTAGGGATGAGTGATTCGGGTGTCTTCAACTGATTTGAGTGTTTTGGGTGTCTTTAACATAACAATAACCTTATATTTCACTATTTGCAATTCAAATTCCAATTAAAATTAGTCTTGTATATCATATATATCATATATGATTAGAATTTTTTACAATCGCGTCAGAGAGAGTTTCCTTCCTTCCTTTCATGTAAAATTATTCGGTCAACCCTCAATGACCTCCTCATGCAATACAGCTGAAGACACCCGAAACACTCAGATCAGTCGAAGACACCCGAAACACCCGACTCGTTTCAAGACACTCGAATCATTTCAAGACACCCGACTCACTTTTCCCAAAAACATGGGTGTCTCAGACACTCGCTTCATTTGCTTTGAGTGTGTCGGGTGTCTGTTGAAAAGAGTACTGGGTGCGCAAGTGCACATTCGAAATGAGCTTGTGCAAGGCACACACCCTTATTTTAGGGTTCCGATCACACTCTGAGTGCCGAAAAGGCACACATGATTCGAGTGCACTCATTGTCTGGGTGTACCCTTGCCGTTCTCTGGTGTACCGGTTAATACTAGAGGTGGGGAAACATCGACGAAATCGATGATTTGGAAACATCGGCAACATCGATGCTTACCGAGGCAACTTCGATGTTTTTCGATCTCTAAGGCACATTGAGAAAGATTGACGAATTGTTAGTACATATGTATATCACTTAATTTAATGGCGACGCATTTGAAACGTTAGCTAAAAAATACTTCTGTGTTCCCGCATCTTTGAGTGAGTCTGAAAGATTTTTCAGTAAGGATGTATAACTTCTAAATGAACGCCGCACGCAGCTATTATCGACCGTTGTCGTTGCGTGTAAACTCCTCTTCTTAAGCAAAAACAAACACGTAAATAATATGTAAATATATATAGCAAAGTTAGGGATAGTAAGGTAAGGAGAATATAGTAGAGATAATACAGTATCCTAAAGAAGTATTATTTTTTTTGTACCACTTATATAATGAACAATGATTTAAAAAAAAAATGTTTTTTCCATTTATTAAGTAATTAAGTAATTCATTTGTTAAAGTAAGAATAGTACAATATACTACAGAAGTGGAGCAAGTATATAAAGAACCATTTTATTTTATTTGTTTTTTTTTTTGTTATAATTTAAAAAGTAAATAATAAAATGAAAATTCTTATTGTTAAAAATTAGATTTTTATTTTGAATCATTACAAATGAAAAAAAAACTTCAAAACACTAAAAAAATGGATATATTTTGTGTAAAACATCCAAAAACATCAATGTCCGTGGACATCGATGTTTCTACACCTCTAGTTATATAGCCTTTACACGATCAAACCAACAACTGCAATGTTTGAACACAAGACCTGAGAAAAAATCGATGTCAACATCGATAACATTATCTTTTTGATTTCTTAGCATTTACTAAGGGATCGGAGGTCGAGCACTGTTCAGCTGAACAAACTGAGGCCAAGAAGAAATGTTTAAAGTTTAAGGTCTGGAATAATTTTAAAGGTTTGAAAGGTGGATCAGCCAAAAAAATTTCTCATTCTGTCGAAGTGCGGTATGGCTAGCAATGTATCTGCCATTGTGACAGATAATGCAGCCTCTATGATCATGGCCTGCACTATTCTGGGGAAAAGGAAACATACTCATCTAACAGACAGAACACCCTTTTTAGACAAGGTTAAGCCTATTATATACAAAAAAGCTCCTCCACCGCTGAAGAAGTTTCTGTTTGATGGTGCTTGCAACCAAATATTGAAATACTTCAGCATTATAAACATTTGCAACAAATTGACAAAGGTAAGTAATGTAAATATTATTAAAGATTTTAATATTTTAACCATTAAGGTAAGAAATTAGCTAAGAAATAGATAATAACTTTATAATCTTGAAAATTATATATCTTTATACATATTTTTAGGAATTGCAAAAAAAAATATTTAAAATATAAGTTAATTGTATATTTTAATCAGTCAAATCTTTACTTACTCGAGATTGGAGTTTTTGAATAGGAAATCCCTCAAAGTAAAATGTTTCATTCCATCGTGGATTGAGAGTCCGACGTTTTATTTTAGTTTCCAATCTATGTTTTTTATCTGGTAACAAGGTTACACGAACATATGGATCGGAAGTACCACTTAAATCTTTAGCCGGAAGCTCTTTTCCTTGTAGAACTTTTAAAATCAATGTTGTGTTTTGGAAATCGTATTCCAAAGAAAAATGTATTTGTCCCACATTTTCACTCGGATCGGTGGTGTCCAGATACATGTCAGTCATTGATATACTTTTATTCTAAAAGTGAAGGAATGCAATAAAGATAAGTATTCTCATATGCAATAGCCGACGCCTATTAATAATAATTATAATAAAAATAATAATAATAATCGTATACAATTTAATTCTATTAAAAGGGAACAACATATTTACTAGTTGAAATAATATTGTGAGTGTTTCATAAATGATTATTTGACTTTTGAGATTATTATCATTATAAATAAGGAACAAAAACTGCGTTACGAAAGATTTTAAGTGTTTTCCAGGCTGTTCCTAAGTGCACATTATAGAATAACACATTTATTAAAGATTTGGTGGCCTTAGTAACGACAACGAGGATCCTTATACCTAAGGAAAGGCGATCGCCAGGGGCAGCCAATTGTGTGAATTTTTAGCAATACTTGAGGCGATTGGAATTTGAAAGGGGTTAGTGGCTTTAAGATAAGAAGCGAAGAAGAAGCAGGGTGAGCTGTCATTCATCAAGTTAAATTATTCCTCCAAAAGTTGGTGTTTAATTTAATCATTTAAAATATATATTTATTTTTTCCCATGCCACGACTATAAGATACCCCTTACTGTTTTATACAATTTTAAATTAAATTAATTAAATTTTGCTAGTGAAATAGTTATAGTGGGAGTGAAATTGCAGTGGCATCTCTAAAATACGTATTCCTAAGCCTAACTATGTATCTTTTATAGTTCTCCAGATTTTCGCATTCTTGCTTTTCCGGGTTTGTTTTGGGTGTTAGCGAGCGCATGGCCAGACGTTGAAAAATAATACGCATTTGGGGCGTCATTAAAAACTAAATGCTTAATCACAACTTTCTATAGCGTATAGTTACAGAGATTTCAACCTTTCTTCAAAAAGCATATATCGTTTTTCGAGTTTGGTGGGCCATAAGATGCGCTTGCATCTCAAGGTTATACTTACTTAATCCCAACGTCCTTGCTCTTATAGTTCCTGAGATTTCAGTTTTTCCTGATTTATAGGCGTTAATGTGGCTGTGGCAGGATGGTGAAATAAACTTGCTCTGCGCAGGGACCTCAAAAATCTTCATGCTTAATCTCAACTTTTTTCTCTAATAGTTTCTGCATTCTCAGCGTTTATACGGACAGACGGACGGACGGACGGGCAGACGGATGGATGTCTTAATCGACTTCGCTATTGATACTGATCAAGAATATATACACTTTATAGGGTCGGAAACGATTGCTTCTACTTGTCACATACTTTTCAACTAATCTAATTTACCCTTTTACTCTACGAGTAACGAGTATAAATACTATGGTAGTCGGCACTTTATCTACTAGGAAGCCTGCGTGATGTAGCCACTTTACTAGTTAACACGAATATTAAGAATTTATCCGCAAGATTAGACGCATATTCATTTACGAATCGCTTCCAAAAACAATCTCTTGTCATTTTCGTAACATTACACTGCCTTTCGTTCTTTAATTAGGTGTTAATGGAGCCTCCTTTTTCGTCGTGAAAGAGAATGGCTGCTCGATGAAGTTTTCTAGTATGTGGCGGCCTTTTCTCTCGCGCTTCCTGGTGTTTAATGGCCCATCCTCTTTGGCAAGGATATGTCCAAATATACATCGACCAATTCAAGGTCCTCACTTCGTCTGAAAGGCCACTCGTAATCTAATGCCCAAATACCGCAAAGAACTGTGGCGTCCATAATATTTATATTTATGTTTTGTGTGACCGTATATAACATTTCCTTATCCTATCGATTTACCAAAAAATGTAAGTCGGAACAGTATTTAACATGTATATAAATACCATTGTTTTTTTTATTTCACAATGCACGGTTTTGCTATTTATTTATAGAATGCGCTTTTTTATATTGACATTTTAAACTATTTAAATCTTAAATTGGTTTGTGCTCAAGCTTAAAATATTTAAATTTCCCTCTGTGCTCGTTATGAACTGCTGGTGATGGTTCGTTAAAGGTCCGAGCTTTAAAAAATACACAAAAAAAGTTTTCAGCGCCGTTAAACATCAGTTTAGATTGGGTCCAGTAACTTCGAATTTTCAAATGATAATGTCCGTAATATTCTAAATAGGCCACTACATCTTATATTGTCATGAAGCCGTCCGAGTTTGTGGAATCTTCGATTGACGCACGTGTTGTACATGGGGACTTTTAACTCGACTGAGACTGATATTTTTGTCAGGTTTACTATTTATAGTTTGTACGTCAACCAATCCTTGTGCTGTCTAATTTATCAATTTGTACATCACTTTTTCCTTCCATGTGGAAGGATTTATTTATAATTCATCTTCATAAAAAGTGGTGGTAAGGTATTTCTAAATTTTATACAAATTCCAAAGCATATGAGGGCAATATAACTTCTCTATGGGCAGATATTGGACCTCAATATGAGCCAACGTTCGAATTTAAAGCCAAGAGATGCTGGTACTTCATGTTTTAACAGCCTAATAAATAAAGACCCATCCTAGCTTATCCTGGCCTTTCAAAACAAACACTGTCCACACATGATGAGAATGAGAGAGATGCCAACCATCGCCTACTCCAAGTGCAAAACTGGAAACTATTGGACAAGTTCACAAAATAAGTAAAAAAAGCAGCATCAGCAATTAAAAAGCCAACAAAACATACTAATTAAACAATGAAAGGATGTTTATCAAAATTTGTATAACGATCAAATAACAGGAATCATTGTCCTTTTCCTAAAATAATAATTCAATTCAATCTTAATATTAGTACTAATGGCGAATAGTGTAGATTCGACGACAGCCGAAAAGTAAATTTAAATTGACGCCAGAATCATTTAAGTAGCGATTGAACGGTACAATTCTAAATGGACTTAGACGCTGATAGTAGCCATTAACGAGTCAGGCAAGCGTTTCACGAAAAATAAAGAAATATATATTTGATAAAATAATTGTTAATATCCAAATGTGTATAATTTTTTCCTTATTTGTTGTATACAAGTCTAATTCAATCGATATTAGATATAAACGCGTATATTATAAGCAAATTTTAGTTACTCACAGCAGAATCCTTAGGAGTCCCATCTCCTGCGTTTCCAGCCGATGAAACATTTTGGGCTTTTGATGGTGTATTTCCCGAGCCACTTTTAAAAATATTAGAATGTATTATTTTCCAAATAAATTTAAATTTCATACCCAATTAACGGAGTTCTAAGACTTAAAAACCCATTCAATTTCCTGTTAATGTTATTCTGAAGAGGCGTCGAGATCGCTTGTGCCACCGGCACTTGAGGTTTTAAGGGTGGATTGCCAGATTCAACAATATCCTGCGCAGCTCTGAAAATAAAAAAATTTTTCGGCTATTTATGTTTACTTTACATCAAAAAGAAGTTAAAAATAAATACGTATAGCCTGTAAAATAAATAATATAAATAATATATAAATAATAATAAAAACCCCTCTACTATATATTTTTATAAATCAACTTTCTTAGCGTTTTGAACAATTCTGAAAGAGGTCGTCAAATAAATAGGCTCAAAGCAATAGTTATAAATATAAAAACATTTTATTTATGTTGGTTAGAATAATAGGTTCGACTTCGATAAGAAATAAGAAAGGAATATGAGCACTTGTCAATTAAATTAAAATGATTTACAGTTTGTCATTTATAAAGGAACCCTTAGACTGTCAGGATTAGAACATAGGTAGTCTTGTTCCTGATTTCTGATTTAAGGTCACCAGTTGCACTTTCTTTTTGGGATAGTGTTTCTGAAGGTTAAATCCTATATGGTTTAGTTGTTTCTTGTATATAAGCCAATACATTACAAAATATTTTACCTTGTCTTAACTGTGAAACAAATATTGTGTTTAGTTAAATTAACAAACCAGTTTAAATCCCGCCAGGCCTGCTGCAATTATGCATTTGATTATGCATCCATATTCTAGAAAAGCCAGCGCAGCACTATCGCCCAAAAATCGCAGACAAACTGTGATCTCATTCAGTTAGAACGCTAAGAACTGCGAAACCATTAGTGATAGAAAGTACGAATTTTTTTTCAGCCACGCCCACAGCACTCGAAAAACTATGCATGCATAATATTACAATTTGTGTTTGGGTTCATATGTCGGTATAATAGGTCTATTCCATATCAAATTACCGAACCAAATTCAGAACCACTTCTTATATTATATTAAAATTTTAGATTATATGGCCTTTATGGACAGCACAGTCAGGCAGTATTAAACATGCTTCTAGCCTCTTGCTATAAGTGGGGCTTGTAAAATTGTACAAAACGTCAGTTATGAAAAAAATTAAAATTAAATTATTATAACAATTTAAACAAATTAATAAAGTATCGGGTATCATACACAATGCATTCGACTATAGTCTTTTTTATTTTTATTTTAATTATAATAGAAACAAATTAAATAAATAATAAAAATAATAATTATTTTATGTATGCGTTGTATATACAACAGTATACTTCAATACAAAATTTTGTAACTTTCAAAACTTTTAATCGTTCATTAAAATCGTAGACCAACTTAATTTAATAGGTATGGAAACTTACCTAAGACTATAGCTACTAGATTCCTCGTCTTCATTTGGCTCAATAAACTGTAACTGGGATCTTTTATGCCTCCACCACAAGTATCCACCAGCCAGAAAAAGAGCAATTGCAATAATTAGTCCTAATACAGCTAGAGAAGCTATTAGTACTATGTTGGCCATATCTGCAATTTGGATTAGTAAAGAAATTCTTTAGTTCTTTACAGTTCGTCACATTTTTATACAACTGTAATTAACAATTATTATATAACTTTGAATATCTGTGTATTTATACCAATATTTTTATGCATATAATATAATAATATAGAAATATATTTGTTTTCTACAAATGCCATTTTTAAAAAGTGTATATTAAAGTATATTTTTCCGACCTGGAAAATAAAAAAAATGTGTAGCCAAAAAAGGTTATGTTTGTTTTGTTTAATTTTTTTGTAAAAATTATTGTATATATTATTAAAAGAGCACTTCTTGAGAATATGGCGTAAAGATGTATCAAAATACAAAAACACTGTATTGTATCTGCCGCAGTGATTAAAAACTAAAAAAAGGAAAGAGAAATCTAAAATATAACAGTTAAAATACAATCTGTTTATAAACGGCGCTTGGAACGGCGAAATTATTTTTTCGACGTATTTGGGTCTTTTTTTAAATTGAAAAAGAAAACTAATTTCTCTTAGTTTAAACAAATTATTTTTTTAATTCAATACTTTTGTATAAGTTTATAACGAGCTACTTATGGCAATGAAAACACATCGAATACATTTTTTTATAAGAGCATGTTAGGTCATTTGCATTAAAAGCTCGACTCCGTGCGCATGTCAATTTATTTACATAAGAGCGAAATATAATTGAGCTTTTTTACGGTCTTAGAAATAAAATTTTGGCATTCCATTGGAAAAATAAATTTGTTACATTTACTTTACAGACTGTCGAAATCCATACCTGAAAACGCTCTTTTCACATATTTACACTATTGTTTATATCCGTATTCGTAGAGTAAAGGGGTAAATTGGAATTGGTGTAACTGTAGTATACTGTAACGCTATAACGTGGCGTCCATATTATTAAAATTTATGTTTTCGTTTGACCTTGTATGATTTACCAAACATTCTTCAAGTCAGAACACTTTTTCGCGATTTGTCAAGAAATTAAAGTGTAGGTCCTTACTTGAGCAGTGCCGTCTCCATAAGTTATTAAGCGTGATTTTGCTGACGATAGGTGGCGCTGCTTAAAATTCTGGTAGCAACATTATTATTTAAAAATTGAGTATGTCACATCTTATATTCGCGGTACTCGATACAGCTGAAAACAATTATACTCAATGTTTTTATCTATTTATTTAAAACTCATTGGTTCTTACTGGTGTAGACAAGCATGTCTACATGTTTTGCAATTAAGGAAGATTGGCGGTCGGAATACAAAAATATTTTAAAATAACATTTTCGCTTACCTATATCCAAATCGCCTAAAAATTTGTTTTAAGGTGACCAAACTTGTCAATGCATTGATTCCAATAAGAAGTCGATTTTTTCAGTCATCCAAAAGGATAAGTAAATGGGTTTTAATTTATTTAATTTAATTTTGTTAATTTTCATAGAACAATGGTGACCAGAGTAAATGGCTCACAACAAATTATTTGGAACAGCGTTAAAAGCCGTATGAAATGTTTTCTGATTTTTCATTTTTATTTTTTTTTTGATATTTTTTCCGGTATTTTATATTAATATTATGTTTGATTATACTATTTTAGTAATACTTGGAGGTTACCTTACCTCATATTAATTGCTTCGGTTTTTAATCTATATATTAATCTATTGTGTTACTATTTTGAAGTTAACGTAGCCCGCATCGATACACGTCATTGTTTAGACAAGTAGAATCTGGTATCGAGTTATATACAGAGGATATCAAAGAATGATTGGAAAACTTTCAGATATGAAAGAAGTTTTGGGTCGTGCATTTTATCCACAATAAAATAATTATTTCTTTGGAGAGAAACTATAAGTTTAAAAAATTTCATGCATTTTCTGAGACATTATTCCTTTATTATGTTTAACCTTAATTGGTTTGATTTTGATATGTCAGAATACGGCATTTTGTTTAATACTTTTAGCTTTTATGATAGTATATATTATATATTATCTGCGTGTGTAACGAGCAAATAAATATTAAATATATATTTTTCGCCTTCGGTATATTTTAAGCGCAATGGTTTATTTCCTCATTTCAAGTGCGGTCACCCTGATGACAAATCATTTTTAGGCGGATGATAATACAACTAGCGTTTAAAGTCTGCGAATATATGTACATATATTTAATATACTTAGTTGTGTTTTTGACGAACGAACAACATGATAATTACAATAAAAAATCTTCAACAGCAAACATTTACTATTGAGTTTGCCCCTGAGAAAACGGTTTGTCCATATGTATATCATATATGTAAATAGTTTTATCATTTACAAGTAATAATACGCAAAAGTAAATTTCTGTGTATACATATTTATCCATGTGTTCCACATAATTTGTGATACGCAACATTTATTTATTAAAGGTTTTAGAACTAAAAAAAAAAATTTTTGATGAGCGCGGTGCAGATTATGTCGCAGAAAAGCAAAAATTGATTTATGCTGGCGTCATATTGACGGATGAGCGTACCATTGAATCATACAACGTAGATGAAAAAAAGTTTATAGTGGTAATGTTGACACGCGATTCATCCAGTTCAAAGACAACTCAAAACCGCCTGAGAGATTCTGACAAATTTACAAACACCAACAATTCAAAAGCTGCTCTAGAAACAGCAAACTCCAGTAATTCGTCTGACACAGGTAATTCACAAGGGATGCCATCGGCTTTAACAAATGAAACTGCAATTCCAAGACCTATATCTAGCAATGACTTGATTGGCGAATTGGCCAATGCGTCTTTGCAATCGCGCGCTGAATCTAACTTGCTTATGGGAGACGAATACAACCAAACTGTTCTATCAATGGTGGAAATGGGTTACCCACGAGAAGAGGTGGAACGAGCAATGGTCGCCAGCTATAATAACCCAGAAAGGGCTGTTGAGTACCTTGTTAATGGCATACCTGCAGAGGAAGAAGTTATTTATAATGACGAAGCAACAAATCCTAGTGCGATTGACTCCGGACCACAAACTGCATCTGCATTGTCTGTCGGTCGTGTGGTAGAATCGAATTCAGGTAGCTATCCTTTTTTGAAATACTTAAAAAGAAACCCGTTACTCTCTTTTATCATAAAAAAAACAGTCGAGTTTCGCGATTATCATATATCCGATACTTTTTAGGTAATTTTAAATTATTGTGGTTAACAGAAATTGATGACTTGTTAGCGTCATTCGTAAAATACCACTAAAAAAGAGAATATTCAGCAATCATTAGTAGCAACTCTTCCTTATCAATTCCTACTGAGTATAAGACAAGTGTGGTGAAGGGCCTCTTGGCCAGCAGCAGGTGCACCGGTTCGGGGCGGTTTTTTTCTAGGGTCAACCAAGAATTATCAGGAAAAGATCAGACTTATTGTTACTCCTTAACTTCTACTTGATGCCAATTAATATTCGAAGGATTCTTTGAGAGAAAATTGTTAGTGGAATATCGCGGCGAACGACTAAAGCTTATGGGCGAGGAAAAACAATTGATCACTCAGAGCTAGGAGTTAAGCACTAGAGGTGGAGAAAAATCGATGCGAACATCAATGACATCGATGTTTTCGAAACATCGGCAACATCGATGTTTACCGGAGCAACATCGATGTTTTTCCATTTCTAAGGCACATTGGTGAAGATTGACGAATTGTAAGTATATATAGCACTTAACTTAATGGCAACGCTTTTGAACGTTAGCTTAATAATACTTCTTCGATCCGGCATCTTTGTGCGAATCTGAAAGGGTTTTCAGTAAAGCTGGACAATTTATAAGTGAACGTCGCACGCGGCTATCATCGACCATTTTATCGACAATCTTTTTATCTTTTTAAACAAAAACAAAAATGTAAATAATATGCAAATATACATATATAGTAGAGTTAGGGATAGTAAGTATAGTAGGGATATCACAATATCAAAAAGAACTATTATTTTCTTTGGATCATATATGTATATATTGAAACATTAATTTAATTTACAAACTAAGAATAACACAATATACCAAAGCAGTGGAACATGAATATCAAGAACAGTTTTATTTTAATTATTTTTCTTTTCGTTTTTATTTAATAAGTGATTAATAAATTGGATTTTTTTTTGTTGAAAATTTGACTTTTAATATTTAAACATAACAAATTAAAATAAAGTTCAAATACATTAAAATAACTTAATTTTTTTTTATTTAAAACATCAAAAAATAGAAAACATCGATGTTTCTCCACCTCTATTAAGCACCCCTGCAATAAAGTATATACATATATATTTGATCAGGCTCTCACGAACTTTACGGCTAGAAAGTTTTAAATAAGCAACTAATGAAATGGCACGTCTACTCTAACGCCCACAAAACTCGAAAAACCAAAAAAATGCATAATACATAAATAAGAGCTAGAAAGGATTACGAAAGTATTCTAGAGATGTCACCGAATTTCATTCGTCCACGCTCACAAAAACGGTTGCCACCATAATATAAAAATTTGAGATTTCCTTTGATCTAATATAACTTTTTTTAGTCAATAGCAATCGGTTTACCAGAAAGTGGTTAAATCGGATCACTAATTTACAATTTATTAAGAAATGTATGTCATAAGGACTCACATGGGCAGTGACGTCACCGTGACTAACTACATATGATTTTTTTATGGCAAAAGAAAGCACTAATAAAATTATTTACCGCGTCTATTTCTGCTAGCAACGTGATTATTTTAAAATTGTATTACTATTGTAATTGTTTATATTTTGCGCATGCAACTACCGAATTTTACTTTTTCGAAATTGATATACGAGGTGTGTTCAAAAAGTAAGGTGACTTTTCAAATTTCGCGGGCAACATATTTTCGATTATCGTTTTTTTTGTTTTGTTATATTGGTACACTCTTCCCTAACATCTGTACCAAGTTTCAATGGAACATCCTCTTTTGTTTGGTTGTGAGAGGCGTAAAGTTACAAGTTGTTTTGCGAGCTCGGCGATTTTTTGCTATCGAAAAATATGGATCAAAGGATTTGCATCAAATTTTGTGTAAAAAATAAAATTAAGTGCTCTGAAACACTTGAAATGTTGACAGTGGCATACGGTGAAACTGTTCTGAGTAAAAAAAATGTGTACAAGTGGTACAAACTCTTCCAAGATGGCCGGGAAGATGCCAATGACCAGCCTCGCTCTGGACGCCCAAGCACGTCAACAACTGATGAAAACGTTCAAGCAGTGACGAAAATTGTTTTGGAAAATCGTCGAATCACTATCAGAGAAGTTGCTGAAGATGTCGGTATATCGCTTGGCTCGTGCCATGAAATTTTTTCAAACGTTTTGGGTATGAGTCGTGTGTCAGCGAAGTTTGTTCCGAAATTGCTGAATTTTGAGCAAAAGAACCGTCGCATGAGCATCGCTCAAGAGCTGTTGAATGACGTCAACGACGACCCAGATTTACTCAAAAGGGTCATAACTGGTGACGAATCATGGGTATATGGTTATGATATCGAAACCAAAGCCCAATCGTCCCAATGGAAGAGCCCAGACGAGCCAAGACCGAAAAAAGCAAAAAATCGCCGAGCTCGCAAAACAACTTGTAACTTTACGCCTCTCACAACCAAACAAAAGAGGATGTTCCATTGAAACTTGGTACAGATGTTAGGGAAGAGTGTACCAATATAACAAAACAAAAAAAACGATAATCGAAAATATGTTGCCCGCGAAATTTGAAAAGTCACCTTACTTTTTGAACACACCTCGTACAGAGTAACATATGCTACAGGTTTCCTTCCTGTTTTATATTTAATTAAATAATATTAAGATATTTTAGGGATTATTTTATATTATTTTTTACTTAATTTTTTCAGATCCGTTTGAATTTTTACGAAACCAGCCTCAGTTTCTACAAATGCGATCTTTAATTTATCAAAACCCTCACCTTTTGCATGCAGTATTGCAGCAGGTGAGTAACGTAAAAGTGCAAAGGTCAATAGACGCTTTGAACAGCTCTAATGTCCCATTATTATAGTAAATTAATACATCTTTTATCAGCATTCGTACATCCATTGTTAAAATGGATATAGCAGCTTAAAAAATAATATTTTTATCAGAACTTGCATTTACTACTCCGTAGCAGCGAGATGCATGAAAAGATTGCTCTGCTATTGCTACGCTCTCACTTTGGGGAGGGCGGGAGCAGAGCCGTAACAAAAAACGGAAACTGATCTGCTCTACTCTGCTCCGAGCTATGAAAAGTTGAGAGCTATAGCTATAGCAGTAGCAGAAAATAATATTCTGTGATCTGCGTAGCCGCTAAGTCTCAGTAGCCTCAGTAAAAATTATCAACCGTCAATGCCGTTTTAAAAGGAATAAGAATAATATTTTTATAAATAGATTGGTCAGACAAACCCAGCACTTTTACAACTAATTTCGGAGAACCAGGATGCATTTCTCAATATGCTTAATCAACCGATTGAAAGCGAATCCGAATCGAACGACACATTACCCCGCGTTTCGAATCCTCGTAGGTCATCAATTCTTGCTGAAACTGAAAATCTGCTTTCACTAGAGTCAGAAGGGGCTGTTGCATCAGAAAGATCAGCCGCTGGTTCAAGTGTGGTACAGACAGGAGCTAACGTTGAGAACGAAGAATTGGAACTACCTCCAGCCGTTTCAACGATTCGCTTAAACCGTCAGGACCAGGATGCAATAGAACGGGTATTTAAAAAATTATTTTCTATTTAATGAACTGTTAAAATGCAATTTATTTTTTGTTAGCTGAAAGCACTTGGATTTCCAGAGGCACTTGTACTGCAAGCTTACTTCGCGTGTGAAAAGGATGAGGAACTAGCAGCCAATTTCTTGCTTTCTTCTAGCTTTGATGATTAGCTTGTCCAAATGTAAAAGTTTATACATATTCTAAATAAATCGTTGCGAATAAAATTAGATGTTGCAAAACCAAAGTTAAGAAATCGCCTAAGAAAATTATTTATTGGGTGGCCTACAAAATCTTCATTTTAGCCAAAACCTAAGGAAAGAAGTGAAATATTTGTCAATGCTAATTCTCATTGTTTTGGAAAAAGTCGCTCAGCCTATATATTTAAGTTGACTTTCACAATAATTTTGATGGCCAAGAAAGAAGGGTACTTTTTTATACCCGTTAGTCATTGAGTAAAATGGTAAATTGTTTTAATTGAAAAGTATGTAACAGGTAGAAGGAACAGATAAAGCCATTCCCATCTGTTCATATGAACGCTAATAATGGGACTAAGAATGCAGATTCTTGCTTTATATATACATATATATGAATTTAACAATGTATGGCTGGGTCGAATTTGGTGAAGTTTTTTGTACGTGTTCAAGGGGGCTCCAGGTGTGTTTTTTTTATCATAAATGAGGAAAATTCGTGAAAATTAAAAATTTGGAAAATTGATTAAAGTTGGCTGCCCTGATCAGCTGAGCCATTAGGTGATGGCAGCAATGCATTATAGTTGGTATCTCTAGCTCTTAACAGCTTAACAGGGAGTATGTAGCAACTCTGTGGAAGGCTGGTTGCCCTTTTTAAACAGTTAAATTTAAAATTTTGTTTATTTTTTTGTTTTTTTATGTGATTTACGTACAAATTTATGTAAATTATGAAGGCATTTATTTTAGTTGACAAGACTCTGGTGAAACTGTGAATGCCTGGTCCAAACAAATGACCTGTTTGATTGTGAATTGAAACGAGAAACAAACTTTGATTCTGTCTGTTCAAAGAAATTATCCGCATTTGGTTCCACTGCGTATGACATAATTATGCGTGCAATCACATAACAAAGCGGTGGATTGTTCTTCATAGATGCGCCCGGTGGAACTGGAAAGTCCTTTTCTATCGCTTTCTGGCAACCATACGATAAAAAATAATAGTGCACTGGCCATTGCATCATCTGGAATTGCGGAAGCTCAGCATTGAAGGTACAATTGAATTTAAAAAACACTGAGGCCCCAATTTGCAACATTAACAAAAACTCTGGAATGGGCAAGTTCTCAAAACTTTTAAAATTATTATATGAGACGAATGCACAATGTCTCACAAGAAAGCATTCTAAGTGCTTGATCGTACTCTGCGAAATATAAGAGGAATCGCACGGATTTTTGGTGGAGCACTCATTTTGGATGTCTAAAATTTATGGTGTCATTTACAAAATTTGATTTTAAAAATCAAAAGGCGTGTTCACTTAATAAATATAATTATTTGTAGCGACTAAATTCAACCGGCACTATAACGTTTGCTAACAGCCAAGAAGTGTCCGGATTCTTCAATTCTAAACCTTGCGCCTTCTCTTTTTATGACACACGGGCTTGGCACAAAAGTATAAAATAAAATTTTTCAGTCCCTATAAAAGATCGCGTATTCTGCTTTTGGGGACTAAACAGAGTAGCGGGACTGATCGAGACACTCAGCTATAGCGTTTATCTGTTTATATGTTTAATAATCGCAAAGTGCAATTACCTGAAATGTCACATTTATATATTTAACAACATATACTCATAGCTCATTAAAATATGGGCTTAAATTATTTTGGAGATTCCAAAATATACATATTAATAATGTTATTTAGTAGTTAATTAAAAAATATGGTTTATAAGGTGTCTCATGAATGTCGGCGTCAGTTGGTTTGTATGGTTCTGGCAATTAGCATCAATTTCTGCTAGTAATATTATTATTTTAAAATTAGTACAGTCTGCACATAATTTATTCGTACACCCATGAGCTGGAAGTTTATTCCCTAATATCTCGAGAAATATAACGGAAATTAAAATGTAATATCTCAAATAAAAGATATACATGTCGAGCATATATTTAACTTAAATACTAGATAATATCCTTAATAACGCAAAAAAGTCATTTTTTACGTACAAAAATTATTCGTACACTATAACGTACGTACATAACAACAATTCCAAAGATTTTAGGACTTTAATCTTTAGTGGGTCCTTCGTTGGCCTTAATGGAAGCTTGTAAACGTCGACACATGCTTTTTATAAAGTTTCTCGTCTCGTCAGCATCAGTTGAATCCCATTCAGGTATTAATGCGGTTTTTAGGGATTCCTTCGAGGATATGTTGTCCTTTTCTGGACGATATCCCATAAATGTTCTATGGGGCTCAAATCTGGTGATTGTAGAGTCGGTTTTGGCTCGTTGTAGTGATATACTTGACAAAAGCCACTCTTGCACTAAATACGACAAATATTTCTGGTCGTTATCTTATTGAAATACGAAAGACGCTGGATTCTGTCCAAGTTTAAGGGCACTTGAAATAAATTTTGGCCTAAAATGTCTTTATGTCTTTATAAAAACCATTCGACCCAATCCACCTGCAGCTTTACACCCATAAACCATCACATTCTTGCTAACGTGCTTAAAAGTTGGAATCAAATTTTCTTTCTTCATGGCTTAATTAGCCTTTTGACATACTTTAAAAGGACCGGCCGTGTCCAAAATTAATTTAATTTTTGATATGTCAACAAATAAAACGTTCTTCCAAAATAATTCCGGCTTGCTTACATGCACTTTTGCGATCTCCAAACGCATTTTTTGTTATAATCAGAAATCAATGGGTTCTTACGAACAACTCTACTATGTATACCAGCATGGTGCAGGGTTTTTCGGATGGTTTGGTTTTTTTTTTCTCAAGGCTTCTCTATGGTTTTAAGAATTGTTGTAGATGTTTCTGGGATTTAGTAATGGTGTATTTACAACTTTATGCTCCTCCCGTGGTATCAATATGTCAATATGTGGTTCCTTCCAGATTTTCTATATTCTACTGCACATTCTCCAGTGTTTACATATTTTTTAGTACTTCAGTTAAAAGTTGTTAATTTTATGTTTAAAATATATGCTCGAAATGAATATCTTTCATTTGAGATATTACATTTTAATTTCCGTTACTTATTTCTCGAGATATTAAGGAATAAACTTCAAACTCATTAGTATACGAATAAATTATGTGCCGACTGTATATGTGGTATCCCATATCAGATAGTCGCTCCAGACGAATATTGCTTTGTTGCCTCCTTTACAAATTCATAATTCGTTTTCAATAATTCCACAATGTCCTACAAAAAGTGAAAATCATCTTTAGAGGTTGGTGAGTACCCCCTTGGGATGCGCTGCCATTTAAAGATTACACAGCTTAATCCCAACTTTCTAGATCTAATAGTTCCTGGGATCTCAGAGATTTTGGTTTTTCGTAATTCATATCATAATTTAAAAAATTATGACTCACAAAACATCCCGATACGTATTTTGTTTTACGCATACCACGCTGACATAAAAACAGTGATAAAGATATTTATTTCAGAAATTGAGTTCTTATTTAATCTTATTCTAATGCTTATGTCCAAATGTTATTATCAGCGGGAGCAGTGCACCACAAATCATAATTGTTAATTCACTATATCTTAAAGCTTGTATACTATTACTTCCATTTGTGTCATTAACTTCCCGAGATTCTTCTAATACGCGATAATCTTGACGATCGCTCTGTGATAGTCCGCCTTTGGTAAGTTCTGGTAAAACATGAACCGTGGCCACGTACAAAAATGTTCCTGCGGAAAATAGCATAGCTATTCCAGTGGCATTCACTGAATTTAAAGTTTCCTTTTGTTCCTGGCCAATTCCAAAATACGTTAAAATAGTCAAAAGGGGAGCTGATAAGGAAAACACACAAAGGTGTCTTCGAATTTTTTTCCTGTCGACTTTCTCATGCAGAAGGAAAGTAACCAACCCAAATGCTGCTGGAGCCTTGTGGAGCATTATAGCTAAAAATATAATTATTTCAACATCCTGATGGCTTGTCGTGGCTGCTGCACCCAAAGCAACTCCATCAGCTGCAAAAAAAAAATGTATTAGAAGAAATTAAAAATACACCAAACATTGTTACCTGCAGCATGTACCACCAAACCAAGAGTAAGGGTGGCATCGTTTTTTTTTTGACTTCCTGCATTGCTTTTCCTCTGTGATATATCTACTAACATCATAAAGACAAAACCAAGAACAAGAGAAAGCCCAATAGTCTGTGAGTAATCTTGGTGCTCTTGTCCAGGTATCAGCTGTTTTCTTTGCCCGCTACCCATATACAACGATTGAATACCCTCCGGTATGATAACTGTGAGAGCAGTACCCACTAATAAGCCAGCGCCTAGTACAGTGACACATTTCAACTTTTCCTAAAAAAGAAATATACTCATTTAAATAAACTCCACGTAATTTTTTAAATGCGAAAATATGTACCAACCTCACTTAATTTTATTAACATAGGTATACTCCCCGCCAAATATGACCCAAAAAGCATAACCAAAACTAATAATATAAGAATAAGTGTCTCCTCAGCCATGATTTTAATTTATACTGTCAAAACAAAATCAACGTTTACATGTTTTTGCCAACTCAATAAATAATTGGAGATGGGAGTCACACACATTTACATATACCGCCACTATGCTGCTGTGCGCCAATGAAATGTGGAATATTTTAGCATTTCCCACAGAGACACATCTACCATACATATACTGGAAGTCTTCCAGTGGAAGACAGCTGCAACAGGGGAAATTGTGAGGTCAAGAATTTGTTTTTCAGTGATCTTTAGCTGATGGTATCACAAAGTTCTACAACAGTTCTAGAAAAAATATTATAAAAAATAACAGGCGCCTAAATTCTAGAGGGAATAATTTTGTGACTGCAATCTCGAATGAAGTATATACATATAGGATTACAAGATTCACACATCTAGTTGAGACTGCATTGATGTGCCCTGTGGGATAATGTTAACAGTGGCTTGACAATTATTTTCCCCAAGCTTTAGCTTTTGTATACCAAATTATACGTATTGAGAACAACTATTTTCGTCCCAAGAAGCCAAGAAAACTTTAGATTATATATATTCTAATATATAATATATACACTAATATATACTATATTCCAAATTAATACAAAACAAACTTTTTTCGATAACAGCATAACCCGACCAAGGGGTCTGGTCAGCGGGTTTTTATTAACAACGGTCATACTGTCAAGCAGTAATTGTTAAATAGGGAAATACTTTGCGAGTATGTAGTAATTCGTCTTTTTGTACGAAATGAATATAGGTATGGACAAGACTGCGTTATTCAACATTTAAACTGTTTGCTTACATAAATTTCGGGTATAATTTTTCGAATACCTAAATACAAACATAAACCAATATGTAAATATAAATTAAAATATATGTATGTACATAATTTAAATATATATTTAAAGCTCAAAACGTAATAATCTATTTGCATTGTGGTTAATGATATGAGTTTATAAACGGCCCAACAATTTTGAAAACTTAAGGTACCAAAAGCACGAAATTCAATTTCCAACTAAATGTACATATGTAAGAAAACTATGTACTTCCTTGTTTTATTTATTAATATTTTTAGCTACACTAGTTTATAGTAATATTACAACTATGACCAATATTACAATAAATTCTGTAAGCTATACATTTATTTAAGTTATTACATATATAACCATATGTACCAATTTATGTACATAAATATGCAAAGTGTTTACGGTAGACTTTCATAGCAATTGCTGCAGTCAAAATGTAGTCATACTTGAAACTTTATTACGGTCTTACCAAAAAGTGATGTACATGTATATGTATATGTACATTGTACATATGTACATACATTTAGTGGGACATTGCTTCAATAAGACTCAAACTAAAACTTTAAAAGTCGGGTACCAACTTTAAAGGAACTATGCCAGCAAACATAATTTAAAAATGCTAAATATTTCTACAAACGTTCTTTGGTAATTTTGCTCAAGGAGCAAGCGCATAATTGCAGGAATTACCCCCAAATCTGATGATTTCTCTACCTTATTAGAATGTTTGGTTTTCCCAAATTTTTCAAGCCATTTAGCACACCCTGTTAGGAATAATTACACGTAGGGTATAAGGTATTGGTTGAAAAGTATGTAAAGTATGTAAGTATATATATTCTTGATCAGGATCAATAGCCAAGTCTGTCCGTCTGGTCGTACGAACTTTAAGATCTCAGGGTCTATAAAAGATACAAAGCTTTTAGAATTTTGAGGTGTCAACGCAGCGCAAGGTTATATTATCATCCTAACACGCCCAGAAATCACGAAAAAAGAAAAGATCTCAGGAACTATAGAGTTAGAGAGTGGAAAGAGTTAAAAAGGCAGCGCATCTTAAGGTGATAATATTATCCGGTCACGTCTCCTGGTATGCCTAACAAGCTCGAAAACGGAGTCGGCTATTTGGAGGAACGCCGAGGTATTGGAAAAGTGATAATGATCGAAAGTGAAAAAAACTTGTGATTAAGAATGTAGTTTTCAAATAATGCCTACTCTAACACCCACAAAACGCAGAAAACCAAAAATGCTAAAATCTCGGGAGCTTAAAGGTATATAAAATTAGAACTAAGCATACGTAATTTGAAGTGGTTTTTCATCAGCCACGCTCAACCTAACACCTACAATCCGTGGTGTTTTCGTTTCACCTTGTAGACAATTTTTTGTCAATAACTATCGGTTTACCATAAACTTTTCTTATCGAAACGTTTTTTCCGATTTATTTAGAAATGTATGTAGGTTATAGGGCTTCGATTGGGCTGCGACGTCACCATCAGTTGTTAAAGATTTTTTTTTCAGGTTTCTTAATTATTTATCGCGTAAATTTCTATCATTTTACGATTGGATAAGACAGTTCTTGTTTATACGTTGCTTTTTATACCCTCTACTTGAAGAGTAACAGTGTATATTAGATTCGTTGAAAAGTATGTAACAGTTAGAATGAACCGTCTTTTGAGCTTGGTGGGCATAAGAGTGGGTGTCGCTGGATATTGATACCACCATAAGATGCGCTGGCATCTCAAGATTGTACTTTCTGAATTTCAACTTTCTAGCTCTAATAGTTCCTGATATTTCAGCGATTTTAGTTTTTCATGATTTGTAGGCGTGGCAGGATGCTGAAATAAACTTGCGCTGCGTAGGGACCTCAAGAGTCTTCATGCTTCATCTCAACTTTTTATCTGTTATAGTTAAAGAGATCTCAGCGTTCATACGGACGGACGGATAGTCGGACATTGCTCAATCGACTTCGCTATTGATCCTGATCAAGAATATATATACTGTGATAGGGTCGGAAACTTTTAAACGAATCTAGTATACCCTTTTACTCTACGAGTAACGGCGATATTATAACTGTTCTATTTAAAAGTTCACTTCGAATATACAATTTTTTTTCATATATACGAGTATATTCGAAGACTTTCAATTCAGTTGATAACACTATATTGTCTCATATTGTAAAGTACAATCATGTACAATAGATTTTAATGTTTCCGTGTTAATTTGGGTAACGAATATGTTAAAAGGAATAAGTTGAAATTAATCGTGACAAAATAACATATTTAATGTTTACTTGGGAATATATTGCAGACCAATCTTTTTAAAACTGATAAAATGGGTAATTGCTTGAAAATACGCACATCAGATGACATTTCACTTTTACGAGGCAATGAAAGTGCTAATGGGCCTATCAGCGGAGTACAACCATTATATCATGTAAGTAAAATTTGTAAGTAAATACCAGTAAAAACAAATTACATTAACCCCCTTAGCCCTATTTTCCTTAGTCATATACAGCCCGACAATTTTGACGTTTCCTAACGGCTGCGCCAACGGTAAAAGAAGCGGGACTGATAGATAATGATATATTATGGTCTATTTCCCTGTATTAAAATTCAGTGTTAACAGATCTTTGGCTTATTTTTAGTAGATTTCGACAGATCAATGTTAGAGTTTATTAAAATCCATACATTTTCCATGTTATTGCTTCTATAAGCGTTATTAGCCATTATAAATTTTAGTAAAAGAAATATTTTTCGTTAAAAATAAATAACATTACGTAGTGGTGATCGAGTGGGACTCGAATCAATTTAATTCGGATTTAGTGCCCCTACGAATATTATAGCTTAGAATATGATTAGAGATTTCAGCGGCATCAAAACACAAAACGCTAAGGGTATTTTTGGTATAAAAGAGAATGTAATTCATGAATATTTCAAATCTCAAGAATTATTTATTAAAAGCGTCAGTCCTTTCTGACCTCCAACATCAGAACATATCAACAGAAATATCATAACATTCGACAGCATTTCTAACGGTAATAGGTCATAAGTTAATATAAAAAATAAACAAAAATTAATTCTAAGTGAAAATTAAAACATTTTCCAAATTCACTTTGATATGGCACTCTGATTCTAAAGGATAATAAAATAATTACTGAAATAAATAACACACACAAACTTTCCTAACTGATAATTTTTCAACAATTTTCGAACCCGTTATTATTGGAATTTAATGTTTTAGTATACCTTATTCGAAGCTACCCCCAAAAAATATTCCTAGGTGTACCCAAAATATAAAAAATAAATAGAAATTAATAAAAAAAATTATATAAAAAGCAAAACTCCGGACACAAAAACAAAGTAGTACACTCAACATACATACATACTTATTAAATAAACAGACTACGCGTGCACTACGCGTTTTTCTTCCTAAGAAAAATAAATCGCAAATTCTTTGAATTAAATAAAATAAAATAAATAAAATAAAAATTTAACTTTATTAATGTTTTCATTTCAGCAGGACGAGCAGCATCAACAAGTATTTCACCCTAACACATCGGTCTCCGCTACTAGTACGCAATCTTCTATCAATCGCCAACTTTCCAATGAAAATCAAGTCAAGATTGCCAAGCGTATCGGACTAATGCAACATTTACCTATAGGAACGTATGATGGAAGCTCAAAAAAGGCACGGGAATGTGTAATTTGCATGGCTGAGTTTTGTGTTGATGAAGCAGTGCGCTATCTTCCTTGCATGCATATTTATCATGTCAATTGTATAGACGATTGGTTGTTGAGAAGTCTTACATGTCCTAGTTGCTTAGAACCTGTTGACGCTGCTTTACTGACAAGTTATGAATCGACATAGCGTTTAAGAAACAATAGTATGTTTACATTGATTCTTTATAGAATTTCAGTCAAAATAAAATATTTTGAATCAGAAATGTTATTATTTGATACGTTTAAATTATATTCATTGTTATCGTATTATCAATTTAAAATAAAACAAAACGTATTGTATTATTTAATACCTTGCAGAATTTACATTAAATCATAAAAACTAAAAATTAGAATAATAACTCGATGATTGTTAGAACATAAGTCATCTTATAATATTTCTTAGATATTAAATTAAATTTCTAATTAGGACCAATTTGTTACTGTTTATGCTGTTCCAAGTAGTGTTGTACTATCAATCAGCTAGCAGCACAGGAGCGGTTTGTGGTTTCTTTATCGATAGCACTATCGCCGCTGATCTTTATCATACTCTTAACTTTGCCTCTTTTGTTAACCGTAAGTATATTTTTGTCTTATCTTAATGGCTTGTCTAAGAGCGCAATGTTGATTATCTTATTCGTCCTTGTGTATTTGTCAACTCAGTAACCTATTCTGTGATTTCGTTACTATGATTTTTACTTCCTTTATTTCAATTTCATCTTTGAGGGTTTTATATTCCGTCTTCCGTCTCCTCAGTGTCGCAGAAAATAATTTAAAAAGGCTTCGAAGAGTGTCGGAACGTGTTGATGACTTGGAGCGCCATCGACAACAACAGATGACCAACACATTAATGAAGTGAAGGACTTAGTGATCATAAATCGTCGGTTGACTGTTAGAGGCCTTACTGATACGATCAAAATTTTAGAAATCCATTTTAAAAGACCATTTAGAAAAGTTTGGTACCGAAAACGTCTCTCCTGATTTGGCACAGTGTGACTTCTGGCTATTACAAAACATGAGACCACTCGGGAAACACGTTTAGAGACGACTAAAGAGATAACAAGAGGAAACGCTATAGTCGAGTGCCACTAGTGTCGAGTGTCACTATAAGATACTTTTTACTTTACTTTTACTTTTTTAAACAAAATTTTAAAATAATAATTTTGCTAGTGGAAATTCACAAAGCGCCACCAATTGTCAAAGAATGGATGTTGAGTAACTGATAGTGTCGTCTCCGCCCATGTGAGGCCTTTTAACTTAAATTTCTTCATAAATATCGAAATACTGTTCCGATTTGAAAAATCATTGGTAAATCAATAGATATTGACAAAAAAAAGTTATACAAGGTCAACGAAGACATACATTATAATATTATATATATATATATTATGGATGCCACCGTTTTTCGCGGTTTGTGGGCGTTAGAGTGGGTGTGGCCGGATGAAAACTCACGTCGAGCTGCAGTATCCTCTCTAAAATGAGTTCTTAGGCCTAACTTTCTATTTTTAATAGTTCGCGAGATTTTCACCTTGGTTTTTCACGTTTTTTGGGCGTTAGAGTGTAAAGTATTTGGGGCGTCATTAGAAATTACATGCTTAATCCCAACTTTCTATCATTTATAGTTAGCATATAAGAAAAAGCGAAAGTCGTCTTTCCAGCTTGGTGGGCATAAGAGAAGGCGTTGCCGGATACTGAAACAAGAATAAGAAAATTATCTCAAAAAGACCAATTTAAAATACAGTATATTTAATGTTCTTTGTTTTTGTACTTGAAATCACAAAATCTAACTGAAGGTGATCAGTGCCCATAGGCACTTCAATTTCCTAATAATTTTGGAATATTTACATGTAAGTCCTTATAACCTGATTGGCCGTGGCTGGATAAAGTTTTTAGTTTTTCTCGTTTTGTAAGCGTTATACTAGGCATCATTTTAAAACTGCATGTGTGGGCGTGGAGGAAAAATATTTCCACCTTAAGGTGCGCTGCCATTTCAAACATGCTAAATCTAACGATTCGTCCTCCATAATATATAATTTTCAACGAATACAATAAATACAATATACCATTTTATTCAGCAGGTAACGGGTATTATGGAATTTAATCATATTAAAACAATCCAACAAAAGTATTTTACAATACCTCAACCAGATTAATAAGAAGACACTTTGACACTTTTTTATCTACTCGCCCTTGTCTAAAAAGCTCACTCAACGCATTCACAATAATTTAGACAAGCGTTCCTTTTTGAGATCTTTTTTTGTCAACTGAAACAAACGTAGGAAAGGTGAAAGTGTATCAAAGTGATATCTATCGATTTACCAAAGATTTTTCAAATCGAAACATTATTTTGAACACACATGGGCAGTGACGACCACCATCAGTTAGTAAACATGTCTTTTCTGACAAAAGGTGGCGCTTCGTCAATTTCCGCTGGCAAAATGAATATATTACGGGTATCTTATAGTCGAGACACTCGACTGTAGCTATTGTTATTGTTTAAATTGAAATCTTGCCTAAGTCATAAGTGAAATGATTTTTTCGGAGCATTTGAGGATTTTCAGCGTTGGTTATAAGACCCCCGTACATTAAATATTTATATACTAATAGTAGTAACAATCTATAAATTTTTTGAAGTGTTCTTTTTTTTTTAGTGCCCAGGTTGTGAGTTGTTGCTGAGTACAGTTTTCTATGAAGTTGGGGTTTCCTGTTAAGTGCTGCGTTGATTTATAAGTTTAATACAATTTTTATACCCGTTGCTCGTATAGTAAAAGGGATATAGATTCGTTGAAAAGTATGTAACAGGTAGAATGAAGCGTTTCCGACCCTATGAAATATATAAATTCTTGATCAGGATGAATAGCGAAGACGAATGAGCCATGTCCGTCTGTCTGTCCGTATGAACGCTGAGATCTCAGGAACTATAAGAGATACAAACTTGAGATTAACCATGAAGATTCTTGAGGTCCCTACGCAGCGCAAGTTTATTACAGCATCCTGCCACGCCCACTCTAACGCCCACAAAAAAATTGCTGAAATCTCAGGAACTATTGGAGCTAGAAAGTTGAAATTCAGAAAGTAAGATAAGAGATAGAAAGTTCGGTTCCACTCCAACGCCCACAAAACCCGAAAAACCAAAAATGCAAAAATCTCGAAAACTATAGGAGCTACATAATTTTGCTTTGGAACACGTATTCAAAAGATGCCCCTGCAACTTGCCACGAAGTTACATCCGGCCATGCCCACTCTAACGTCATTATGAATGCCTTCGTTTGACCTTGTGTAACTTATTTCTGTTAATATCTTTCTATTTATCAAAGATTTTTCAAATCGGTACATTATTTCGCTATTTATAAAGAAATTAAGGTTATAAGGCCTCACATGGGCAGTGACGTCACTATAAGCATACTCAACATACTTCCTCTGACAATAGGTGGCGCATTGTGAATTTCCACTAGCAAAATAATATTTAAAAATTTTGTAAAACAGTAACTTTTATCTTATAGTCGCGGCACTCGACTATAGCGTTTCCTCATTACATATTGTATTTGAAGATCATTTACGACTTGTTTTCGAGTCTTTTTCTAGTCGCGCGTAAAAAGAATCTGTTTTTAATCATCTCAACGACTCGAAGAAGACTCGTCAAGCTGATAAATCGAAAAACGATCTTCCAATTGCTTACTGGGCAGCTCTTGTAGGGTGCTTTGCATTAGTCTTAGTCGGTTTTTGAGCTCTTTGTAGACTGGACAGTCCCTGTAGTGTTGGTTCCCGCCACAGATGCTACACTTCCTTTGTGCAGAACCTTCTTTGTTTTCTGGGGATTCTTTTGTTCTGTGGAAATCGCCGCAGACAACACAAACTGCACTTAGAGTGGAGTAGCTGTTGGTGTGTCCATATTTATGGAAGTTAACGCATTGGACGGGACCGTTTCTTTTATGAGGCTTCCCACGGTAATTTTACGATGGAGAAAGCTTGTATATGGAGTGAACTAAGTTTTTATTGGGGTTTGTGCACAAGCGTGTTAGATCGATCTCCAAGATTGAGTAATGGCAACGCTGTTTGAGGTTAGGAGTCGGGGCGTCAGAGAGCGGACGTCTTCGGTCGCGCTCAAAGACATTGGACTACGTTTTGGGTCCGAAGAGGCTTACGAAAAGTACACGTTGTTCCGAGGAACAGAGAGTCTTGTTACCGGCTTTGTGCCGTTGGTTTACACAAGCAATTATTGGCTGTGTTGGCAAACTAGCAAAATAAATATTTTAAAATTGTGAAAAAAAGTAAGAGGTATCTTATAGTCGCGGCACTCGACTATAACGTTTCTTCTTGTTCTTTTTTGTGTCCGGCTCAGCAACAATGTGTGTAGATGACGAATGCCGGTGCCTATAAAAAATCTATAGTCCACACCCACACAATTTACATATGTATACACTTGTACGCACCCACACAATTTACATATGTATACACTTGTACGGAAAAATACCAATTTTAAATTTCCAGAAGCAAAAGGTTCTTGAACAAGCGTAAGCTGGTAACAATAAATATGCGTTTTGAACTTTTTTTTTATATTTCCTTTTCACTTTTTGATTTTGACGTAGAACGTACACCCTCAACATAAAGCAAGAAGAAACGCTACAATCGAGTGCAGTGACTATAAGATACCCATTACTGTTCTACACAATTTTAAAAATTCATTTTGCTATTGGAAATTCCCAAAGCGCCACCTACTACATCGGGAGAAAAAATCGAGGACGTGGATAAAGTAGCTTACCCTTTTTAACATTATCATCTGTTTATGATGTACTTATGAGATATCGAGATTGCAATTACATGACAAGGTGCATGCATATATGCATGCAACTCCGCAGTAATCTTAATACGGGCATTACTCTGAAATATGTTCTGTTCTGCAAAAATGTTACACAAAATTTACTGCCGTCTAAAAGATGCAAGCTGCAGGTAGGACAGTTTAATTCCATTAAAAGGGAGTACAAATTTCCACGAATGGACAATGAGTTTTTGATCATATACACATTACTGTGTAACTAATTTGATGACTTATAAATCTGAGATGTCTTCAAAGACTAAATTCGCACCTTAAAGGTTGTAAATCCTTACATCGATGATGGCAGAGAATATTTGAATGAGATGACAGATTATTGTAGTGAATGCATACGTTATCATTTGACTGTTCCACATACTCCGCATTTAAATGGAGTATTGGACAGCATTATCAGATCAATAACCGAAGACCTATTGCTAGAGCAATGATTAGTAAATCTAAATTATGTAAAAGTTTTTTGAGTGAAGCAGTTTTAAAAGCAACATATTCCAAGTACAGCGTTTCACGATAGAAAAACTTCATTTGAAATGTGGCACAACAGAAAGCCAAAACTGAAATATATTACGTTCAAGTTGGTTCAACAGTATATGTATGTAAATGTA